CGGGAGCCTATTCCAGCAGTCTTCGGGCAGTAGGCGGGGACACCCTGAACCGGTTGCCAGCCAATCGCAGGGCACACAGACGAACAACCATCTGCACTCACACTCACACCTTTTGAGTGTTCAATCAGCCTGCCATGCATGTTTTTGGAATGTGGGAGGAAACCGGAGTACCTGGAGAAAACCCATGCAGGCCTGGGGAGCATATGCGAACTCCACACAGGAAGGAACCCAGGACCTCTGCACTGTGGGGCTGACGTGCTAACCACTGGAACACCGGGCCGTCCCAATTAAATTACGTGATAGTAATTTGATTTTAACAAGGGTTCTTGTATTCACTGAAAAGTTCATAAAATTGTACTTTTAAAAGGGGGCACGGTCATTTATGTTGAGCGCTGGACACTGAAGAGGACACCGATACATACATACTTCGACCATTACGCAACAGGCCCCGTCAGGAGTGCTGGCACACCGATTGCTGGGATTTATGAGTGACAATGACACACACGCACAGGCTCAGTCCCTGTTGTCAACAATATGCTGGGATGAAATGGCAGGATATATTTAGAAACCACCTCCAGCAATCATTTTCCTCAGTTTGTGTGCATTAAACTTTCGTGTCTAGACATCACAGCTATCTTCATACAAAGCCCCTGGTTGTTTTGAATTTCCAGAACACATGCCGAATTATTGCTTTTCACCAGACCCGGTGCTTCTTCGCACTTTTTTCCCCTTCATTGCTACATATGACTCCTCCCACTGCAGTCAGGAAGTCAGGAGGTACTTCTCATTTAGAGGCCGGCCTTCTCCCTCACTGGGAGACAGCACCATCAGTCTGTCTGGGCTGGAAGGGACCCTGCAAGCTCGATAAAGGACGAGACACAGGAGGAGGAGGAAGATAGCGGCAAATGCGTTACACACAATGGCCACCAATGCTGCTGTGGACAGTGCTGGCAGGCTCTCTTCTGTTTCCATAGTGGGGCTTCAGTGTCCTGAGTTCGCTTAAACGTTAGGCAGGATCCATCCTGGAGTCTTCATAAAGCAGTTGAGTGTGAATGTTTCTTATCTGCATGGTCCCATGTCCACTTGTTGTACCATTCAGCGCATTTTACTTAGAGTTAATTATCTAGATGAAATAACAGCGGCAACGACGACTTTTGTCGTTCGGGTGTCACATCAATTCTCAACTGTGCATCTCTTCCGATGCGACTTAATATATTTGCTTGTATGACCGACTCCACGTAGGCGCAGTCAAAACACTGTAGTGGATGACGGCCAATATCTGAAAGAGATGGGGGGTGAGGGGTCGGAATTGTACAGTCAGAATTAGGCTTATATAGAGAAACACACGTAGGCCTACCTGTAATTCTATTTAAAGATCAAATGGAAATAAATATAACTGCAGAGAGACGGCAAATTGAGCAGAAAATGAGAAGCCATGAAGACAGAACAAGCGTCATCACCAGATAGCCTCGATTTGCATTTTCTTGCCTTTTAAAGCTGCTGGAAATGTCATGGAAAGTTACCACTGACACAAATGTCTGCCCTTTGCTTCATGCTAAATGATGGCATCATGCACTGGAACCAAAATAGCAAAGCACTGTTTGTATTCTGTTGTTATATTGATAAAAATGAATGAACCGAACTTTGGTGACAGTGTTCAGGGCCGGTGCTGGCATAATTTTTTACGTACAGACCTATTATATTAGTGCCAATCATCAGTCCCCTCAAGTGTCCCTTTAAGTTTATCAAACCTAAGTACATTAAGTTAGACAAAATCTGAGTGATTTAGTTAAATCAACCATAAGTTACATTGACCCAATTCAAGTACATCAATCGAGACCACTATATCTGTTAACCCTTAAAGACGGCCACTTCATTGTGGAAATTCTTTCCATGTTTTTTTTTTTGAAGTTCATTGAAAGAGATTTTTTTATTGTTTCCAGGCTGACTGAACATCAAATCATCCACATCACTATCTCGGCAGGAGTAATAACTAGAGGCAAGCAGAACAAAGTCACATTTTATTCCTAATTATAGCAACCTCATCATCTGAGCAAATATCTCTGATAACACTTCGAGTCAAGTCAGTGTTTATTATTGTCGTGTTTTGGAGCAAGCTCATCACTTCCGTTAGCAGACCTTAAATTAGGGCTGTGCTTGATTGGATTGGAGTTCAGTTTTAACTGACACCAATTGCACCAAATTTCACACCTTCGTAGAAATCTGCCGATGCCTAATTGTTATCGAACAACAATGTATACATTGACAACAATGAGAAAGTGAAGCAAAATGAAAATGTGAATGAAAGTGAAAATGATCGATTTGATTGAAAATTTCATCCCGAATCGAGTGACATTATTATAAACGACGATTTGTTTTAAATGGTCGTTGAAGTTCAATTAAAAACACATCAGCAAGCGTGGTTAAGTGTATGGGATAATTGATTCTTGTTTGACTGCGGCTAGGCATGCTAACGGCAATTAGGCAAACAAGGTAACAAATAGTACAGTGATAAAGTTCACTCTCAATTTACAAGATACGTGCTGTAAGCAGTGCGTTCGTTCTATTCACACCAAAAGCATTTAACATTAAAAAGACACCTCGCCTCCGGTCCATTAAATGCGCGTTATTTTTATTTCCCACAGATCATGCATCTTCTTCTCCGTGAACCGTAAAACTTAACTGCACAGACTCATACTAAAACAATAGTTGCTTACTTACCCAGTAGTCTCTTATTGAATGAACATGTAGCTTCGCTTATGTTTCACAGTCCACAGTCACATGGACCGAAGTGCTCTTCACCAGCCTTACAGGCTCTTTCCACTTTTGTGTGCTGTCCCCCACCCAAGCCCCCACCCCTTCCCTCTCCATCTCCATCTGTTCATCAAACACAATCAAAGACGAGGCAGCATCGCTCGAGGAGTTGTGTGATAGCAAGAGACAGAGAACACGGGAGAGAGAGTCGGAGCCAGCACGAGAATGGGGGTCGGTTGGAGGCGGGGCCGAGTTGGAGTTAGTGGGTGTCAGCAGTGATATCAAGCGCAAAAAAGAGAGAGGAACCGTTCGGCGGCAATTACATCAGGATCCTGCTGCAGCACAGGGGGGGTTGTTATGGTGAACAAGCACATTGCAGAGCTGAGGGCTGACAAAACAACTTTCCGCACAGCGGTGCGTGTCTTCGGGGAAAACTTCCAATTAGGGATGATTTGGTTCGATATGTAGGAGACTGTTTATGTTATTCACTTGATTTTCTGTTTTGTTGCATTATTTTCGCTTTTCTGAGTGTCATTGAAGTAATCATTAATTTACGGGTTTTCAGAGGCGGCCCTTAAACGTCTCCCGAGTTGGAAGGCAGTTGAAAAAGGCACGTAGCCCGAGAGAGAAGCGTCTGTTTTCTTGGGTGTTTCACGAATTAATAAAGTGCCTATTTTAAACACCAACACGACAGCTCTGTTTGCTTCGGAGCTGTAACATATATTTAAGACACACAAACACAAAGAAGACAAGAATCCACGTTACAAATTCGTGTCTTCTTCAAGACAGAAGGAAGGAGCTGAGACAATCCAAAGACAAAGACACCCGTTTTATTGCAAACCGGCCACCCGAGTCACCATCTATCCATTTTGTACAACCGTTAATCCTCTTCGGGAGGCTGGAACCAATCCCGAGTGATTTGTCGGAAGGAAAGGCAGCCAGCCTACACCCTGGGCTGATCATCAGTCAATCAGTGGGCACATACAGAGACAGACAACCATTCACACTCACTCATTCTGCCACTGAATAGAAGCGGAACCCACGCTGTCAAACAAGTCCTACACTATGAGTGGCCCCTGAGTCATGCATTCCTAATCACTAATCCCTCTTAACCGGACACATCAGATGGATGGCTTCTAAAAACGCCGATGGTATGGAAAAAGATCATGTGCTTTATCCAATCATAATTACAATTCGTTATTCTCTGTATTGTAAGTGAGTTTCAACAAGACGACAACGGTACAGTAACTGCTCCCCAAAGAAGCTTTTACCCTGCTTCTAAAAGTTTGCATTTTCCTGCCTTTTGCCATCGATGCTGATTTGTTTCAAGGGCACAGTCGTAGATTGTGGTACATCATGGCAGCAGCAGATCCCAAATTTCTAACTTTCATACAGCAATACGGCATCACATGATCAGACACATTCGTGATGATTGCAGTCCCAGAGTCTAATATGAACAACCATGGCATAAAAAAAAAATCATTTGCCTCTTCCTGATTTTTTGCACATTTATCACACTTAACTATTTTGTATCATGAACCCAATTTTAATATCTCCTTTCTTTGGATCATGTCATGATGTGTTTTTTTTTTTTTTCCATGTAGCTACAAAGTGTACTTTTGCATCTAGGCCCAGATAGGTATGGATTGTTTCCCTTACTAAAATCACCATTTAGCACCTGCCAAACAGATCAACAAATAAATATGAATAATTTAATAAACGGACGCAACTCAGAATGGAGCAACACCGTTTAATGGCGCCGTGTGAAATTCTGCTGTTTTGCATAAACTGACACGGAAGAAAGGCAAATTTAAAAAATGCCAGCATTTACTGGCAGTGAGGTCAACTATGGATCCAATATTCATATTTTGCTGTAGTAAATAAGAATGGTCATGGTAAAATGAACATGACGCAGCACAGTGTGGCAGCAGTACAATAAATAAGGTTTCTCCTGTATTTTATAGCTCCGTTTGAACAGGCTCTGGGGCCTACACTTCGATGTTGTGGGCCACTGCCCTCTACTGGTAGGTTGTATCACTGCCATTGGCATGAGAGCCATTGCATTGCATCTTCTCACGAAATCATTTAAATAAACCCAAATTTTCTAAAACATTATAATTGAGCAGGTATTACAATTAATTTCGTTTTGTTTGCACACACACACACGCTTTCCTATATTAAAAAATGACTGCAATAGCGACGAGTCAACAGTAGAGGGTGCTAGATCAATGAAATCCTGAAGATTAAATATCATAAAAATACTTACTTTCTTTAGATGAGCAGGATAAATAGTAGCCGGTTCGAGTGGCTCCTGCCTTCTGCTGCTTCTTGGGTGTGCTGACCGTCCTTCAGATGGCCGTGCAATATTTGTTTTGTAAGGCTGTTATTGGCATGCAAATCAAGTGGATTAACGTTGCACACACCATACGATGGTAAATTTCTGCTTGGAGCGAACTGCGACGGTTGGCGGAAACATTCACATTTGCTACTTCACATCGACGGCGGAGTCCTGCAGGGCTGTTTTGTTTTGTTTTTTAAGTGGGGAGATTGGTACTCGGCTCTCACATTGTCCTTGAGTTGAGACAGAGAAGGTCAGAGTCCAGTGGAATGAAGATCAAGACAATTGGCGGCCCATTATTTTTGTGGGCTTCTCCTGCCTTTCTTCTTCTCTGTTGCCATTCAACAACCGCACGAAGGCTCTCTGCCACAGCAAGCTTGCAATACGGGGAGTATCAATGAGCATGCACCATTTGTGACACAATATGACAATGGACAGTTTATAATAATCTCACAATCATTCCATGGAGTGAATTTTGAAAGGTCACTTCAATTCCTGATCTTGACATAGTGTATTTGTTCAACTACTGTACACACAAAGTTCTACAGAAGGGTAAGAGGAGTGCATTATAAGAATGTGCAAATTGTTTTCCTGTAAAATACTCCATTGTACTTTACAGTGCTTATGAGGAGAGGAAATCGTGGGCTACTTGAAAACAATACTTTGTTCAGGTTGTCTCAGCAGACTGAGTAGCTTCTCCATCTTGGCTACTTCTGCCTCAGGACCTTCAACCAAATCCCGACCCTTCTTCCCCTAAAAGTGCACAAAGAGACATACATCAGTGTAACGCCACCATGACACAAAAGCAAGTTTTTTTTTGGTTTGGTTTTTTTTTGGATAATGCGGTACTATTCTTGAAACTTTACCTTTGGTTTCTTGCGGAGGTTCGGGGACAGTTTGAGGCTGATAACTGAGCCTCGGTCGTCACCCACTATGACGACGGGATTGGCAGGGTTGAACTCAATGTGAGTCAGCCTCGTTTTCTTTTTATTCACCACTGGCTGCTGGCAAATAGCTTGATACTTGTTGATGGCGAGGTCAAAAACATGAACCTGAAAAACCAAATCAGAGCACTTTGTGTGCTGAACAAACACCGTGCATAGTGTGTATTTCAATAGGTCAAGGTTAACCTTGCGTTAACACTCATGTGAGCTCTGAGGGAGCCGTTTCAAGTTCTTCAGTCAGCATGCACTCATACGCCATACGTGTGGGTGTGTCAGATGCCCACGTGCAATAAATTCAACCCACAACATCTACCCGAGAGATGCCCGTAAATAGTGTTTCCGCGATCTGTGACGGCCCAGTTGCATGTACCGTACTTTTCACAGAGAATGTGTTTAAAATGACTCTTACCAAACCTTCTGTGGTGACAGCAGCAAAGACGGTAGAGGAGTATGGGCCCCAGGCCACATCGCCAACTGATGCGTTGAGCTCAAACGTGAACATGGGAGCACTTAAAAAATGTTCATACAGTGGTCAAAAAAAAAAAATGTTGCATCGCCTGCTCATTTTTTTTTTATATCATTCATAAATTCATTTTACCTGTAATCCTGGTCCCAGATCTTGACGGTCCAATCCGAGCTGCAAGAGATGAAGACTTTTGAGTGGTAAGGATTCCACTTTACCGTATCCACTGCCATGTTGTGGGCATCATATGTGTTTAGGTACTGGCTTGAGTAATTCTTGGAGCACTGGAGAATGAGAAAAGTTGGATACTGCTCAATTTTGGACTGGACTAATCCATTGATATCCCTCAGAGAAAGAGAAGCTAAAGAAAGCAGGAGTTAAAATTGGACTAGAAATAAATGGGAAAAATCCGGGCCGAAATTTTATTTTTCGTCTCAAAAGCGTGGTGGAAAATGTTCGTTTTAAAGACGAATTTAGGGTTGAGCATTTTGAGCATTTTTTTTTCTTTGTAGGATTGCAGCTCTGATTGCGGTGACAATTAAAGCGCACACCCTCTCGTCTAAATCAGCTTTATGGCTTGTGGGCACAGCTGCTATCTTTCAAGCATCTGACAGCTCACCGACAGCCAAATCTTGGCTGGTGGAATGAATTCTTCCAGCGTACCTTGTGTATTTTCCCTTCCTCTGTGCCAACTATGAAGAGATCGTCAATCTGTGGGTGAAAGTCAAAGGATGTGCCACTAGCTGCAGACAAGAAGTATACGAGGCTGAAATGAGCGGCGCACAGTGACAGAAACTCGCCTGGCCGACAAACGTAAAAGCATTCGGTGAGGAAAATCTGTTGGATTTGCAATGTCGAGATGCCAAGGATGTCCCATAAATGGAGTGAAAACTCACCATTGGTGAGATCCTGAATCCCCTCTGGCCCTTCAGACACCGTGTAATCCAGTGCAAGTCTGATAGCATCTGAGAAGACGAGCTCATTCTGCAGATAACATGAAAATGTCAACGTACGTCCAGAGTGCAGAAACGGCACATCTGATTCATAAATATCTGAATCCAGTGTTGTATAAAAGAGAATATATAAGCGCATATATCAAACGAGACGCATCCAGTCAAATACAGAATGTCTCCATTTTTCTGAGCGAACCTTAGTGAGCGTCCACGACACCACTCGGCCATCAGAAGATACTGAATAAAAATTGAGGCTGTTGTCATTTTGCCAGCGCACCTGAATGGAAAACAGTCGAAATAGCGATGAAAGCAATATCCCGTGTTGTGTTTCTCAACGTTTTAAAACGGCTGCGAATGGATCAAATTCGTCCCACTCACCTGCCAGACAGGGTCGATGTGCTTCCCATCGGAAGACACTGAATAAAAATTGAGGCTGTTGTCATTCTGCCAGCGCACCTGAATGGAAAACAGTCGAAATAGCGATGAAAGCAATATCCCGTGTTGTGTTTCTCAACGTTTTGAAACGGTTGCGAATGGATCAAATTCGTCCCACTCACCTGCCAGACAGGGTCGATGTGCTTGCCGTTGTTAACGGTGCTCTTGTAGTCAGGGTCCTGTGCCTTGTTTTTCAAGTTATACACGCACACGCATCCATCATAGAAACCGACAGCCACCAGGTACGAATGTCGCTTATGGATGTCGAGGCTCATGACCCCGCAACCTGTCGGGAAGATGTACTCGGGGTAGGTGGAGTTCTTCAAGGTGTAGAAGAGGAGCATCCCGCGGCCCTGTTTGCTGAAATCATCTGCCATTGGGTAGCATGTGAAAGACGTTCAACGTCAAAAATACGTTTGGTGTTACACAGTGTCATTTATTGTTTGAAATATTTCTCTTTAGACTTACATGATCCCAATCCCACACCGAAGAAATCTGGATACATGAAATTCCTACGGAATGAGGAGCATTTATTAAGTCCCCTCGCATACGGCGAGTGAGTGCTGGATGTGTTGGTGAGCATGCCTACCAGCAGAGGGCAGTGACGCACATCATTTTGGCTTTGTCATACTGGAACTTCCACAAGGGGAGAACAGTACCCTCCTGCTCGCGAAATTCATCAGCCGCGTCCTCAAAATATTTGAAATCTTGAAAGGAAATCCAAGGCGAGCAAAGAAAACATGTGTGACATATTACAGATGACTCCACCGACAAAGACCAAAGGTTGAACACCTTGTGCTACTTCACTATACGAGTTCTGATTGACCATCCGCTCCAACAGCTTGGCTGATTTGGATACTTGGGTGATGTCATCGCTCTGAAGAGATAAAAGAAGTTGGTGAGAAAAAAATGTATCAATACAGCTGGCTACAAACACTTGACAGATTTGCTATTGGGTGCAATGCAACGGTGTGACTCGCCGGCGTCTCAATGAGCATCATCTTCTTTTTGTTTTTGTCACTCTCCTTCTCTTTCTGTTTCTGTTTTTGCACCTCTTGTTTCTGGAGCTCCGCCATGTACACATCATATATGTTCCACTGCAAAGGCGAAACAGGAGTCATGGCAGCATTCCCAAGCAAATGTTTCTAAATTACTCAGAAGTATTGATTATTTATTTATTTATTTATTAATTAAATTAAAAAGGTCACAGAATTCTCGACCTGACAAGCAGTTGCGTAGTAGTTGCAGCGTGGAGGAGGAACAGTTTGGCAACTTCTACCCTGCAGGAAAATAATGACCTGCATGTGTAATTTTGCAACGGATACTTTTATCTCCAACAATGCTATTCAACTCACAGGTTTGGAAAGTTATCATAACGTGGGCAAAATGAGGGTGTCAACAAAATAAGTTCTCCTTCCTACCTGCAGTGGATTATTGATGGTTTGAGAGGCTCTTTCGATGAAGTTGAACTGATTTGTACATTTTGGCTCTGGGATTGGTATGTCGTCTTCTGCGGGCTCCTCTTCCTCACCCCCATCAAAAGATAACTCCTGCGTGGAAAATCACCAAAGGAGCAAAAGAGGAAGTTGTTGTGGGATGATATGTGAATTTGAGTTTCTTTCAACTTAACTGCTGCAACCCAACAAGAGCAAATGCTCGCGAGCGTCTACCAAATCACATCGCGCCTCACCTCATCAGATTCTTCTCCCTCTTCTCTCGTTGCTGCAAACACATCATAGAATAAATACATCATGACATGCGTTATCGCTTTCGGAATTTCATGACTCGAGCCTAGAACACTGCCCGCAGTCCTCATAACACACAAATATTGGGGTTGACAAATTCCTGTCAACAGAAAAGGTTCAGAGTTTCAGTAACCATCTTCGGTGAGCTCCTCGGTGGGTGTCACACTTTGGCTATCATCAAAATCTTGATATTCAAGGCAACCCTCCAAGACCAAATGAACTGCCATGTGATTTACAACCGTGGTCAGCTTGTAAGCACCCTCCTGGAAAAACAATAAAGCAGCAATGACACTGTTACACACAGAGAAAAAAAAAAGAAAAAAAGCAGCAGTGATGATGCTGACAATGAAACCTTCATTTTGGAACAGATGTGATTGTCTTACGTGAAATTTGTAGTTGGCAATATTGTGGGGGGCATGTGGATTTTTGGCTGTCAGAGTCCGTGTTATTTCCTCTTTCAGCTCCTATCAGTAGAGAAACAATCCAAGAATATACAGTCGCTGCTCAACTTGACGAGACAAAATTCGATTTGTACACTTGATAAAACAACACTTTGTGTCAAGTCTCACAGCCTCGGTGAGTTCCAGTTGATCGGCAGGCTTGATGAGTTTCCCGGGATCGTCATCCTCCTGAAATGCGTTTCATGTGATCAAAATTGTCATGGTATCCATTTTTCTACATTGTTGATGGCCCGAAATATGATAACAAGAATGATAAACAGAACTTACCTTTTTCTTGTTTGTAGTTTTGTATGACTTGGCAGGGGCCTTTTGATCATGAGAGCACGTTGTGAAAAACACATCACCGAAAAAAGACGGTTAGAATTAATATTTGTGCGAGTGTTGGGAGCTCGCTGGAAAAAAATCGGAAGTAGGCCTATTGTATCCACTCGGCACTTACTTGATCTTTACTCATCTCTTGTGAGTTGTATTTGTCCACAAATGTACAGTTACTTGTGCATGTAAACCAAACCGTATGTTTGTCTGCACTTCTTCCTTGAATTCTCTTTGCAATGACATAATAAAGGTTTTGATGACATCAGTGTTCATGCAAAGATGACATTGTGTCAATGCAAAAGTAGCGCATTTTTGACATACAACATTTTTGAGATTAAAAAAAGATGCCCGATTCTGTTCATAACCTTTATGGAGAAAATTTTTAGGCATTGATGGGGTCCGGTTTAGTGGCCTCTGTATTGCATCTCTGCTTTTTGCAGATGATGTGGTGCCGACGGCTTCTTCAAGCCGGTATCTCCAAATCTCACTGGAGCAGTTTGCAGCCGAGTGTGAAGCGGTTGGGATGAAAATCAGCACCTCCAAATTGGAAACAATGGTCCTCAGTCGGATCAAACTGCTGCTTCCTGGCCGGAATGTGTGATGGGATATGTTTGCAAGGAGGCTCTATCTTGTGCTAATGGAAGCAGCTGCCTGGACTGACCTATTTCGGTGAATCACAGAGCACTCTTTCAGCACACAGGCTATTGTGCAACAGCAGTGCTCCAGGTGACTTGAGGCATGCACACACACACACACACGTATACACAACAAAAAAAAACTTTCCTATTCACTGTACCGGTTCAGAGCAAGACAGTCCCACCACGTTTCCTTAAAGTGGAGACTTCTGGAGGTGATAACTAAAGACAAACTACAATTCTTTTGTCTCATTGCATGTGAACAATTCATAACAATCAAGTTTCATATTATCAAACTGAAATAAGACTCGTGTCAGCAATCCCACCGTAATCCCTTGATTTCAGGAATGCTTTCTCGTCACCTAATCCTTGCCCTCATTTCATTCCTCATCTTGTTCTCCTAGGTTTTGCCTCTTGTGTGACTTCAAAGCGATGGCACTCCAAACATGTAATGCTACTCATGGTGTCGAATACAACAAAACGACCGCTCAAGTTGATTTGCGCTATTGCGTTTGAACATTTGAACGCAGCTTTATTTAGACCAAAGGCACCACTTGAATTACTCCCACACTTTGGTCCTACCTACTACTCAGGTAAACATGCTGAATATTTATGTGTACGCACGTACACGCACGTGTGTGTGTGTGTGTGTGTGTGTGTGTACACGTACACGCACGTGTGTGTGCGTGTGTGTGTGTGTGTGTGTGTGTGTGTGTGCAAAAAAATAGTTCACACAACTGAGATGGAAAATGCAGGATAAGGACAAGACACTTAAAAAAATGTATATAACCGGATTGACATTTATCACTCATTTCCCTCTAGATCTGCATGCATCTAAGAAAGACTTATTTCTCCCTTCCCTAAGCAGATGTCACACCGAACTCCACTTTTGTTTGGTCTTGTTCAGAATCAAATCAGTGACAGTCCAGGCTAACAGCAAAGCACACAGGAAATCTGTTGTATTTAGTTGAGGATATACTATGACATATCAGGCTGTCAACTAAATTTGCAAATTTGGCCTTGGGAGGCATTTTTGTCTGGCCGAATGTGTGACGCTCATCAAACAGCAAGACTGGGATCAATTTTCTTTCACGAGGAGTCTTGATTGTCTTGAATGACAGCAGGACAACAAAAAACACACGCACAAACATAATCTAGTTTATAGTACATACTAGCGTATTTAAAAACATAAAATATAACGTGCTCTCTTTTTTTAATCCACAGACACATTCTCACAAGATATCGCGTAAATACATTTTGAAAATATATATAATATTGTACACTATACAGTATAAAGTCTCAATATATTCTCAATTCTCTTCTTAATACTGTAGTCTGAAAGTGGCATCGTGTAGTCTACATCTTTGTGCGAATATGCTAATCTACCTGAAAGCAAAACAGGCACGTGTCGTGAAACAATGACATACTTTTAACACATACGCACCATGATTGAGAAGACCACCTCGACAACGTTGACGGGATACGGAGGACAAAAACAGGTTAAAAGAGTGGTTCAAAGAAGCTAACTTCGAAGTGGAGGTTCCTTCCTCTCGATTGAATTATCACAAACGTTACTCTCATCCAGTGGGCTTTTCCCTCGATTGAATTGTTATCACAAACGTTACTCTCATCCAGTGGGCTTTTCACCGGCTGGTTAAGTACTCCCGGAGCCATTTTACCAGACACCAAAGAAAAGGTCACAGGAGGATAAACCTCAAACGAAAGAGGACATTTTCAATGACCAAATTCTAAAGTCCGCTGACACGAAAAGGTTGACGCCGCTTACTGCACCCCAACACCCCACACAGAGCGCCCAGAGAACGGGGAAATAGTCACCCCTATTGGGGAAATGAGTCTTTTCTGCCGTAGCCTTGCTTGTAGCCTCTGCATGCCACTGTTTAATATGTATCATGGTGGGGGAAAAAAACAACAGAAACCACACAGACTTTAGAATAATTTATTAAGATTTAAAAATTCAAATTATCTGGGGGTCGGGGTAAGAAAAGAATTGCTGTAAAGCTTGGCGGGGCCATCCCTCATCTTTATGAACGTGTCAGCGCTACAAGCTCAATTCAAACCTTTGGCCCTTTTCCTGATATCAACACAGGACAGATCGTCAAAACACAAGGGGGTCAAAATCTCAACACAGAAAAATATATCTCTTTTTTTTCTGAAAATAAAATCTTAATGCCGCAAGATTATCCACACATCGTCTGCTTTTACCAATAATAGCACTATTTTCATTTGCAAGGTACAAAATAACTTATTGCTTTATTGTAAGTTCAAAAGTTACAGTGTCGGTGTCCAGCAGTAGTTTTGTGTCGTGTCCCAGATGGTCTGACAGCAATGACTGGCTGGATGAGGAAGTGGCTTCAAGTGTCTTGCTATGCTCAACGTGAATCAAGGCTGAACAAACAGGTCGCTTTTTTTTTTTTTGCACATGTTGAATTTGTTCCAGCGTTGGACTTTGCCCTCCAGCCAGCGTTTGTCTCCATCGAGACCCTTTATCAGAGCCCACTGGGACCAGACCCTGTTACATTTCATGTTCCCTGCCCAAACCCCCTCCACCAACGTTTACAATGGAGCAGCAACTGTATATCATCAACAATAACGTGGAGGGGCACAAAGCAGTGAATACAAAATAAGTGATGCGAGGGAAGCAGTGGAAAGCAGTGAAACCAAATGCAACAGGGAGATCATATCAGTACCAAATACAGGCAACTGGTCACAAGTCATTCCGTATCATCCTTTGATGTAAGCACACGAATACTCGCTCACACACTTTTGACGCGTTCACATGCACCTTCCGCAGTGAGAAGAGAACAGAACATGGTTGAGATGTTTTCTACATCTTGTTTCTCGGAGAATGTCCTTCATTTATTTCCACGGTGCTTCACCGTGAGAGCACATAGAAAGGAAACAAAAAAAAAAAAAAATGAAGAAGTGAGTGGATAAAAAAAAAAAAATCCAAAAAGTCAAGTCAACCCCCCACCCCCAATCTGACAAAGCCCTGATTTTTCCGGTTTTAAGTTTAAAATTACTCCATCGACATAGTCCATTAAGTAGTTTTCATGCAGAAGCAAGAAATCAGTATCACCAACATAAAAAAAAAAAAAAAAAGCTGCTGCTCGCAGAAAAGCATTAAAATGTGATGACTTTGAAAAAGAACATAAATGCCAGACAAACTCCCGGTATAAGTATTTGCCTTATTATGGACAGTGCCACACTGCGTCCATGCTGGAGAGGAATGGCCAATAATGTACACAAGAACTTTTCTCTTGCGTAATAAGTAGTGAGATGACCACGTATCGTTTCATATCGACGACTTCCAGTGAAATAGAAGCTCTCCAAACCAACCAATTTCATGCCAGCTGGTTCAGTAGTCCCTCACCCACACTTCCCCTTCATCCCAAAGTCTATGTACAATATCTTACAGGAAGACATAAAAACATTGCTTTCAAACCAATAACAGAATAAAATACCTCACAGATTATCATATTATGTCAATATTAATAACAATATTACAAAGGTTTGTTTTTAAAGACTATCAAAATATACATTTTTTTTCTCCGTGTTTCCATGAAGCTTAGAAAAATGACTTGTCGTTGATTTGTTCTTTGTATGTTAAAAAGGATTTTTTGAGGAAAACGCTTCGTGCCCGGTGTTTTATCAGGGACAGCTCTCAAGGATTTCATGATGAAAACATAACACAGTGAGATACAGTAAAAATTTGAAAAAAATAGTCCTCTGCGGTTTTCACCAGAGCCTTTTTTTTTTTGCAGTTTTCTCAGTTTCAAAAAAATATTGGTGGGGTCTCAAGATGATCCAGATGAGGACACGCTGGGATATTATGTTCATGTGAGATTAGTACAGCAAAAACAGAGTTCAGGTTTTTAAAAAGATATTCAGTCGGTGGGTTTAGCCACAGGACAGCCAGGCGGAGCTGCGGCCAGCCAATCGGGTTGTGCCGCCAAAGAGCACTCAGCATTCGATTGGCTCATCAGCAGAAGAGAAGCCTCCAAATCATCTATGACACGAGTCAACTCAGTGGTAGCCGTTAGTAAACGCAGTAGCAATCAGGGGACCCTGAGGACGCACAGAACAGATTGAATGCATACCTGCGGTGAGCGTCACAAATAAACACAGGGATTCGTGCGTGAAAAAAAAATCTTGGACAGTCATAAGAAAAAAAAAATCATAATATCAAAATAAACCTGGCATTTGAACAGTGTGGTGTCAACTTTTTATATTCAAGGGCGTGTAGGTAGAATTGGTGACATACCCCGAGACCATGGCCGAACCCTGTGCTGGGGGCGGGGCTAGCCGCGCTGATGTAGCTGCTTATTCCTGAGTCCTGATTCGCTGCGGCGTACAAGTCAGCCATTGGTCCGGGGCTGCTGGTACTCAGAAATCCAGCTGTGCGAGAAGGGGTGGCGCCTAGGCAGCAGAGAAGTTGGGTCAAGCTTGAACATTAGACTTGCTAGTGCAAAGGCAATTATGCGCTTGGCACATACACACCTCGAACGACTGCCGCCGCCGCCGCTGCCATTGGTCCGTATGCAGTAAAAGGAATAGCTAAAGGTGACAGAAACGTACGGATTTACTGAAAAATTTTTTGTCTCGGGAAGCTCAAACAGCTGCTGAAACATTGATCCATCGGCAGATTTAAAACCGAAACCAAATCAAGCTTCGGTTTCTTGAAACACAGCAAAGGAGGTTTCTAAGCCAAAGGTGCAAGTACAAGTCATGCTCACTAGGGGGAGTATAAAGACAGCCGCAGTCGTCTACTCGGCTGGTTCCTAACGTTTTTTTTGGAGCCCTGGAACCCTTGTATACATTTGCTCAACCCTGACGACCCGCGACATCCCACCCGGTCTGGGGGTTTGGAGCGCGGTTTGATTAAAAACAGCATTTTATGACCATTAAAACGCTCGGAGGGGGGGGCTCATAATTTGAAAAGAATGCAGATCATGTTGAGTCTGTATTAACAGCGTCATGGGGTAACTTTAACCATACAAGTGGGAACACGATCTCATTAAAATATAATGAATTGCAGATGTGAAACAGATGGAGTGAGAGAACTAAAAGTCCTTTCACCCTCTGTAGTTTCAGTAGCGATAGGTCTCAGTCACGTTCGAGGAAAATAATCTTATTTCTAATGTCATACGATGGTTTTTAAAATATAGTGTTTCCACTGACCACTTGCAGTTACACCAAAGGACCATTAGAGGTCCACAGACCCCCAGTTACGGAAAAAAAAACATGAGCCCAATCCTGAATACCCTTCATCACATTTAAAAGAAGTACAAAATGGGATCATAAGGATCTCTGATCAATATTGTTCATGACTGTTCTTACTCAGCATGAAGTCAAATTTGGGGATTTGACTTAATGGCTGTTAAATATAGTGGGTACCGACTGACCTGTCAGCTCAGGGGGATGGGAAGATGTCAGGAGGGGGGTCCTCTCTAAATGGAATTCTAGAAACAGAGAAGGGCAAGAGAGAGCGCTCTGTAAATACGGTCACCATCCACAAGCCGCACTACAGAGCCACAGCGGGACACAAACGTGAAGGCAAGCGCACAGAGCATCAAGGTTTTATGTGAAAACATCTATTGTGGGGCAAGGCAGGAAGGTGGGAACGGAGGAAAAGGAGGCGCTATTCAGCCAAAGGACACGAGGTTACATAAGTCATAAAATAAACAGAGCAAAAGATTTGAGCAGACACAAGAGAAACTGAAGATGTTGAGTTTGGAAGACATTCAAAAAAAAATTGCGCTGAATAGTGTTAAAAGTGTGACCGTAAGCGAGCAGAGACTCCACTGGAGGCGCGTTTGTATTAAACTAGAGCGTGTCTATCTTTGCGTACGTGTGCGTGCGCACATGGCCTCTGTTGTTCCAACACATTTTGTGATCTCAGTGCAGCTGATTCAACTACATGCCACAACCCGCATCCTTTGGCTTTTCTTCTCAGCGACTCGCCTGTGCAAAGTGGAAAAGGGTGTACACACACTCACCTGGAAACTGGTAGGCGTAACCTGGCGCAATTCCAGAGTAACTACGGCTGGTGTAGGTGGTGGTTTGGAAGCCTGGGTAGCCTGTCAGAGGAAAAAAAAAAAAGAGAAAAAAAAAATTCAACAACGATATGAGGATGTGCAATTGGGTTTTGTGAAGTTAATAGCAACTAAACATCTACTCATCTAATATGCAGTATCTTCTACATGACAATACTGCTGGTCCAAACACTCCTCTAACTGTCCACTAGAGGGAACCAAACACCTGCTAATCATTTTTAGTCGAGCGTCATGGTCTCTTCCAGGATGTGACCTCGATGTGCATTTTGTTTTTTCTTTTGTAGGTTAATGTGAGAAAGATCAAACAAACCGGAAGGAGAATTATGTTTTTCATTAATATTAGCTAAATGTATTTAAAAAGTGTTTTTAAAAAAATGAGTCTGATACTCGGACATAAGTACAACACACCCGTGCATCAATTTTCTGTAGCGCTTGTCCTCATTACGGTAACAAGTGCAAAACATTTTTAAGGTAATTCAAGTTGTGAGTCGTACCAAGCATGCCGATGCCCAGCATGAAGGCGTCCATCCCATAGGGCATCACTCTGGATCGACCTCTGGCTGAACTTGTTGGTGTCATCACCTCCTTTGGCTGTGCTTTCTTACACTCTACCTATAGCACACAGGGGGGATTGCATTTCGGTGATGCGAAAATAAAATGACAAGTGCAGCCGAGGTATGAAAATCTGCAGACATGAACGTAACGCTTACAAACACGCATTTTGACATGTAATTATTGTCACCCCCCCACCAAAAAGGGGCAGAATTAGCAATAAAGCAAAACTTATTGATAAATAATATTGCCTTTATAATTGTGCAGCTGTCCCTTAGGCTGTTGTTGTTGCAAATGTTTCGTTGTGTTGTGTCTCTGCTTGCCTACCATTTTATTGTTGATCTCGTGGAAATGAATCTCACACACTTTCTCGACCACATCTTCGTTCTCAAAAGTGACAAAACCAAAGCCTGGAGGACACAAAAACACTTTTGTAACACTCCTATTATCTGTTAAAATAGAGTGGCGAAAGTCGAGACCGCCTTACAGACACAAACACCTTTGAATGTGCATAAGCTTCACTACGATGGAAAAATCAGCGTTAAATATCTCAGGTCTGATGATCAGATTGAATACATTTGTCCAGAAAACGGGTCCCGATCTTGGTTGCAAGGAAGATCGAGACTATTATAGGCTGATGACATGCGGACAGGAATAGACCGGACAGGAGTGACGGCCGTCCATTAAATCTCTCCTCACCCTTCATCTCAGCAGGGAGGTAGCAACATGAAACCATCGTGACATTGCTCGCCTGTCAATCAGCTGTTGTTGATTCGCTGGTTGTTCCCTACCTGAATTAACCTCGACCGGCCACACCCCTTTTTTTCTCCCCACTGGCTCATCTATTACCTCCTGGCTTCTTTCCTCTCCTTCCCCCTTATTCCTCACTCATCTCATTAAGTTCCATCCTCTCCTGGAACCAATCTGACCCTTTATTGCGACCCTCAGCAGGCGCGGCACTTCGGCCTCGCTGGGAGAGGACAGAGATAAATGAAGCAGGGAGGAGTAGAGGGTGGAAAAGGCGCATGAATATGAAGATTTTTTTTTTCCTGCCTTTTTTTTTTCCTCCTATTCTCCCACGAGGACTCTTCATAAGGTCCCGCACACCAATTACTTTAATTTGCGTACGTGTGGGTGTGTGATACTCCATACGCACCTCTGTGTCTGTTGGTTGTTTTGTCGAACATAAGCATGGCATCGTCGACCTGTGAGAACAAAGCAAAGGATGGGCTTTGACGTCAACACACACACGCACACACACACACACACACACACACACACACACACACACACACACACACACATCATCACACAGCATGGGGTGCCATTGTCCCTCTTTAGCATTGGAGCAAGAGAGGGGAAAACAGATGGAGAGGGTGAAGGGACAGGGAGGGGTGACAGGTGACAAAGGAGAAAAGACAGAATGAGGTCCAAAAAAAGTGATGACCGCGGTGTGCGTGCGGTAACTTGAAATCCACATTTTTAATGTGACAATCACCAAGGACCGCGAGATATCACAAGATACGTCAGGAAATTCTTCCCTCTTTTGTCTTCCTAATTCTGCACTTGCCGCTCGGCTTTCTCCACAAAGTTTACAATTGCCTTGGAGACGGAAAGAATTTCAATTAGAAGAACTCGGCTCCCCCCAACCTCATTTCAATTTTGGGTGGGGGAGAAAATGAGGAACTGTAATGCCGAATAACGTGGGGGATCAAAAGAGGAGAAAGTTTTGACTGAACATTGAAAATTTGCTGACAAACACTTTGCATCTGAAAAAGAGTGAACAAGGGGCTTTGTCAACATGCACTGCTTTTCTTCGTCTCCCTCGACTTTCCTATTCACACTCATTCCACAGCCCTATTCATATTCCTCCTCCTCCCCTTTTTCACCACCAAATCCCCAACCCACCACCACCCTGCCTGCCTGCCTGCCCTTTACTGGCAGCAAAAGTTTTGAAGCTTCTGACTGTGTCGAAGGCCACTCGTGTAGTCTGATCTTAAGGGCAGGTGACAAACGGGTCTAACTAAAATTGAATCGGTTGCTTGGTTTTTTTTGGCATGCTCGGCTTATTTATATTTTCTGTGGTTTTTTTTTTTGTCGGTCAGTGTCAACAGGAATCATTTTGCCGACAATGTCATCTTGTAGGTGAAAATGCAAAGACGCAGGTCGACCGTGTCGTACTCACATGGCGACACAGGTGGGGAATGACGACATGCCTATTTTCATGACGCCGCGGCAGCACTGAAACTCAAACCGGTGTAACGTGAGCGGCAGAGACCTCGGGATGACCAGGACGTCTGCTTTCTAACCGTTAATTCACATGATGAACACCCTGTGCACGTCTGTGCGTTTGTTGAAAAAGTTTGCAAGCTAGATGTGCCGAGGATGGAAATGGAAGAGGACCAAGGTTGCTTCAGCAGTCTCCATGACCCTTTTTGACTCCCATCTATCTCAATATATAGCACCCCTGCACGAACCCACGCAGCCCCCGCCCCTCCTCCCGCAGTCCTTCAATGAGTTTATTCTGTCCTCCCCGTTTCTCCACTCGTCCGTACTCAATGACACAGCAGAGATCCCAGGGAACAGGACAGTAAGTAGACAGCTGCAAGCCAACATGTTAGCATAAGACTAGAGTTACATGAGCAGTTTGAGAGCCTGTTAGCATCAGAAGTATTTATGCTAGGTTAGCATGAGCTGCTGGTTTTCAAGCGGAGGCCAAATTATTCACAGCACACACAAAGCCTGAGATGGAAGCAAAAAACAACAACAACAAAAAAAAAAAAAGATATGATGATAATGTAAAGACAACAAAACATTGAATTGCCACAGAAGACAATGGTGGACTATTTTGTTCAAAGAACTTGTCACGTGTATGAGCTTATGCTGCGGTCGCACACTCGCCCCTTGCCCTTGCCAAACCCGATTTCCGATGTCCACTACCTCGGGTGCTGTAAGACAATCTGATTGGACAGTTGCGGGAGGACTGAGATTGGCTTAGCAGCAGCTCAATCTCGAACTACTCAGCATTATTGTCGAGAAGATCGACACGTGACCGAATGAGAGACACCTAAGTATTCCGTTTTTTTTTTTTTTTTAGGTGCAGCTTTTTATGAGAAGAACAAGCGTTCAACATAGTAGATTGTGAAGGGTGGCGTTCACATTTCGCCCCCCGCCTGCTCTCGATCCTCACATCTCCCTCTTTCATCCTTGCACGCTCTCTCCGGACAGCTCTCTAAACAGGCCAGCAGACAAAGTGTTCAGTCAAGCCTCATAATTGCTGGCTCATATGGGTGAGTGGAGTCCCAACTTTTCCCGTCTGCCCTGTCCATTCTGCTTTTTTTTTTCTTTTATCTCTGCACTCTGTTCTCCATCGACAACTAATGTGCATCCAGATTTGTTTCCCTTTGCAGTGGCTATGGTTCTACTCAAGTATTTTAGTATGTAGTCATTCGGCCTGTGAAGTGCTTTATAGTTCAGAAAGGAATGATGAAAAGACTGAAACAGGGGCTTTCCTTTGGACCATAACAGACGTGAAATGTTCATGGTTGAATTACTTGTGAAGTCCAGACAGTGGATTCAGATTCACGTACGGTAAATCTCAATACAAATATGGCTACTACAGTCATACAGGCTAGAAAATATGAACCTACAATATCTCATAACATATTCTCCGTACGGACATTGCAAATAAACTCACACATCTGACATATGATAATGAACAGCCATTTCCCTCCACTCTGACGAAGCAGAGGAGTATAGATGTGCTTTCAGAAGTGCGCTTAAGGAAACAAACTTCAGTATGCATCAAAGAGTTGCACAAAACGCAGCGCATTCGGTGTTTTCTTTTCGAGGCGGTGCCACAGTATGAAAATAAACAGGACACTGAGTCCTACTCCATCCCAACCTGCACCTTGTAACCAGGCTCGGATAATAAACAAGAAATACCTCCTGCTCAGCAGGAATGCACTGTGAGATTGGCGCTACGCATGATACAGCTTCAGTCTCATGTGTCCAAGCAGTCCAAATATTCCCTTATTCTGTGGAGTCAGCGCTGTCTTTTGATATGAGAGTGTGTAACCACCGGGGTAAAGTGATTCGTCTCAGAGCTGCAAACATTTTTTGGGAACATCTAAGAAACCATGACACACGACACTAGCACCTGTAAAATTGAGTTTAGCACGTGTCACACATGTAATCCTGATTGACAGCAACCTACAACACGATTAATGGTGTGTTTTCAGGACAACAATGTAAGTTTTAAAAAATTAAAATGAATAACAACAGCAAAACCGACTGAAAACACTGTAATGTGTATGCCGGGCCAGCAGGGGGCAACGTGAGTTTGTAAAGAAACTCTTACGAGCATGCGTACTGCCTGCTTGTCCTTTCAGGTTATCCAACGCTGTCTTTTGACTGTACTGTTTACATAGCAACAACCAAGTAAAAACGAGAATTTCTTGTCAAGGTTTCAGTGTGGCCAAAATGAACCCAGACAACTCATGAAAAGGACCAAAACTGCTGTCATATGCATGCTCGGGCAAGACTTTGTGATGTCACTTTGGAAAGAATAGCCTAACCACATGCGTATACACCAGCTGCCTATCTCAAAACAGATTCCCTGAAAACACTTTATGTACAAATTTAAGCAATGCAAGTACTGCTGCAGGATAGCTACGTAAATAGTTTGACACGTGTTTAAATCAGCAATTAATTGAAATAAACATGAAGAAGACAGTGCGGTATGGTGACATTATTTTTAATGACAAGCGGCGCACTGCAAATTCCTTTCCCCATCATAATCCATCTTTTTTTTTTCGAAATGAGGCTTTTTGTTTTCTTTTGAACTGTAACATGAAAGTGAAACCGTTGTACGATTATCTGCATTCTCCAATGAATGCAGACTTATTTGAGAACGGTGCTGTTCAGGTTGGATATTTTAGCATCCTTTACAAACGTGTGCCCTACGGATCTCAACAGAACTGCTTGGTGATAAAAAGGCTTTAGACGACTTCACTTGAATCAAATCAGTGCCTTAAATATGCTTAGAGCCCTGACTCATAGGCCAAGCGAGACAAACAACATATTAGGCCTTTAGCACAAAGCCATGTCCAATTTTAGATGATTTAAGCAGACTTTTTGACAACAAAACCCCATAACATTTACTGGATCACTGACTGCGAGTTCTGCTCTCTTTTTGTCTACACAAATGTATGCAAGCTCACCTCTGCGCAAAGCCAAAACGGTGCCACTGTCACACACGCCTCTTTCCATTCATGCAAATACACACTTAGCAACCCCAAAGAAAAAAAAAAAAAAAAAAGAAAGACAACATTGGATTACTGTGGGACTATGGACAAAAGCAGGTCACCACAGCAACAAGCTATGGAACTTGATCAGTGTGTGTATGTGTGTGTGTGTGTGTGTGCGTGTGTGTGATGGAGAAGGGCATCTGTGGTGCTGATTTTTGGGGTAAAATGTGATGCGTTTGGTGTATGTAGGATGTGTGTGGGGAAGGAGGCTTGGGGGGGTGGGGTTAAAGGAGCAGCTGTTGCATTTGGTGAATTATTAGAGAAAAGCCTGAAGTCCTTAAAAGAGTCTCAGCCCCACACCCTCATCCAAGCTACAGTCGGCTAAAAAGTAAAAAGTAACCCCTTATTGCATGCAGGCTGGATACTTTGGTGCATTTCTGGCCCATCAGATGGCTGGCCCCCCCTCCCCGCCATTCAAACTTAACATTTCTTCCTCAATATACCAACATTCCTCCTTTTCTCTGCCCTTCAACCCTTCCGAGTTCCCCCTCCCTCTCGCTCAATAGGGGGTTGCTTCTTCCCTTTCAGTCCCCCGCCATCTCCCTCACCCGCCTCTCCCCGCTCCCTCCTCCCTTTTCCTCCCTCTCCTTAGCCACGCATCTGTCTCCGCAGCGTGTGTTTGTCTTGCACCAAATTTCATTCAAAGAAGCAGTGCCGCTAAGTGAGATGATTAAAAATTGCACAAGATCAGACCCAGAATTCATTTTATCTAACCACCTTTCATTCAGCTTTCCTCTACACGTTGACCTCCGAGACAAGTTTCTCCTACGGGAGACCAAATAAAAGTCCAATTCAAATTCTTATTTCTCCCCACAATTCTCACTGATAATTTGGCAGATGCCTCGAGATGGACCGAGTAAAGGCGGCAAAAAAATTCAATGTCAATTTTTTTGGCAGAGAAAAGGTCAAACATATGAACAGCATCAACAGGAGGCATGCTATTTATCGCGGCGGTGCAGTTTCCAAATTGAAAGAGTTCTTCCTAGTTTACCTTTCCAAATTGATCAAAGTATTGCTTCACGTCTTCAATGGTGGTGTTGACCGAGAGTCCTCCGACAAAGATCTTCTTTGTTCGCGTGACCAACTAGAAGCACAGAAAAGGGAGCAGACCATTGTTTTAATGACTGATTATGCAACTTCTTTTGTGGTTGTTGTTGTTTTATTCACTGATCTAATTTCAAGTTCTGAGAGCTTGACTTAACGTTCAGGCTAAATGAGCTAAATATTAAGTGTGTGCGAGTGCACAGGTGCATACATGCTATGTGTGTGTCCATTCATATAATTGTACAAAAAAATGGCAGTGTGTCTGCGTGCGTGTGGAGGGTGGCGGTGGAGGGGCGGAGGGTGGTCAGGGGTGGGGGAGGCGGGGTCAGGGTGACAGGGTCACAGTGTCAGGCCGGTCAAGTGGATTGCCGCCTCTCCTCCATCATGTGACCGACGCTAATCCTAACCAACCACAGAGCTGAGCGATTATGGCTGACACATGACATCACTTGGCGTTGCATGTGCACTCACCTTCGGCTGAGCACGGCGAGGAAAAGCCACTTTTGGGTCGATCTGTGCGGGAGACATGAGAGGAGACGGGTTTTATTTAGTCATACACACATCACAGCAAAGTCTTTTCTCAGATTCTGAGTTTCGGATTCAGAGTCCAGCTTTGCAGTTTTAACTTATTAGTAAACTGTGAAGGCGATGGCTCTACTGAAGCAGCAGACTAATGTATTGAATGCTTTTGAGTCGGTGACATTCTTGGCACTGTCGTTATTTGAGGAATCATTTCGTCATTTGAGAAAAATGTGACACTCGTAGCCATAAGTGACCTTATTCCTTACCACTCCTTGACATTGATTCGCTGTTAGTGTAAATAGACGGTGCGTTCAAATTGTGAATTTAGGTCGGGCGATGGGCCTTGAAAAGTAAATCACCACAAAGACGAGCGAGGAAGCACAGACTCATTTTGAATGTAAGAGATCGTGTTGGTGTTTTATTGACAAAAACGATCCGCTGACATGATTTGACTCATAGTAATAATTTCTAAAATTGTAATTTAACTATTTGGGATTTGGAAAGTGTCGCGGCAGCAGTTCAACTAGAGAAAAGATCAATGTTCACTCGTTTCAGTTTTCATATTCAGAAGCCCTGACAATATTGGGGAAATGTAATCTTTGACACCATTCGAGAAGGATCCGGCCAACTTCTAGCATTATCTTGAGCTTTTTAATCGATTACACATTTAGGGGACTCAATATCCCTGTATGGAGAAAGCATACAAATAATTGGGACATGGTATTTCTATAACTTAGCATAGCTTGTTAGTTTTTTTGTTTTTTGCGCCATTTCCAGGTAGAGGTTACTCAGTTAAGGAAACCAAAAATGCATTTTCACGAAAATATTGCTGTGGAATGAGTGATGTGCGGTTATGAAATGCTAAAATAAGAGGACATTCAATCCAGGGATTTTTTTGTGTGTGTAAATGCGTTTTTTTGAGGACCCTTAAAAAATTTAAAATAAAATTTACGTTTCTACAAGCCTTGCAGACAAAAATGAATTCATCCTCCAAGACTGCTCATTTCTCCAAGAAACATGCTGTAGTTAAGTCACTGAGCGTATATGAAGGGCAACACATCCAGAAATAGAATATATGCTAATGCTCAAGAATGTATAGTAGGCCCTTGTTGATGCAAGCACCCCAAACATCCAAACACACGGGTGTGGTGAACAAGATACACATTTGGACATGGACACATTGGCTTAAACGCTTTGTATTATTCCTAGTAGTGTATTAATAAACAAATTCATCTGGACAAGAGTATGGCAATCGGAAAACGAACACGCGTGTAAGATTCCGATTTCCAGAAGGATTCTTTTCACTGACAAATCCAGACAACCTCCATTTAGGATTAACAAGATTTGATGTATCCATATTTCGCCCCCGCTGGAATGTCTGAGCAGTGGTCAAGGTTAGAGATAAATTTAGAAGCAAATGAGTTTTGAATGAGCCGGCCTGTAATAATGCTAAATATGCAAAGCCTGGCCTGGCATTTCAAATTTGCGTGGAATCTTGTGTTATTCCCACCCAAGCCAACAAGAGCTGTTTTTTTTTTTTTTTTAGGTCACAGAACCTTGTAGTGTATTAAGGTCTTAGGCTTCCATCTTTGTTCTAATAATTGGATGTGTGAAGAGAAACCCCTTGTGTCTCACACAGGCGTTGAATTTATATTGGCAACCAAAAAGGAGCCTATCAAAGAGCCAAACAGCACGCACTCGAAAAGTGAGCAATGCGCACGATACGAGGGCGAGCGCGCTTTTCTTCAATATTCACACACTGTATTCATCACTCTCCTGTGATCATTCCCGGCTTCTGATGCCAACTCTTCAGACCAAAATATCCTTGGAGGACCTTTAAGTGTCTTTGCGGCCACTTGGAGAGCACAAGGCTGGGTAACTACCAGGCGGCAGCGGTGCCCTTGGGAGGGATTGCCGGGCGACTTTGCAGCTTCAAGTAAGACAAAAGACAAGAAGCCTCGTGTCACCTCCAGCTGGTCCGAGCCTCGAGACGGCGTACGCCGAGGTGACAAGGACACGCACTTTTGGCAACAGGAAGTGACCACATGACATTCCTTCCAGGATTTGAATCTCATATTTGACATGGGATTACCAGCTTGAAGATCGCAGGTGCCAATCGAACCCCTCATCATGCGGAAGATGCTCTCACCGATACGTTCTCCTCGATATGAATGCTTGGACAAAAAATGACCCAAATTCAATACCTAACTACTTGGAGCAAAGGTCACGCGGACCTCTGAGGTGTAACACGATAACAGAATAAGTAAGTTGTTTTTATGTGAGTGGAAGACACCAGGTCCCAATTGGAGTAGAGACACATCATCCTGCGATGTTTTTTTTTCGATGGCACTGGCACTGTCGTTGTTTGTGTAACTATCCCAGGAAATATTAGGCGATGTTTTTTTGTTTTTTTTTCGATGGCAGTGGCGCTGTCGTTGTTTGTGTAACTATCCCAGGAAATATTACATTTCTTTGTGTCCTTTCGTAATGTAATAATAAAGTGCAGATCTATGAAATTAATATCAGGAGTTTCTGTTCGGGATGGGCCTTTGACAAAATTTATCCTAAATAAAACGAATGATAAATTTGATTCCTTGTTATTTTTAACGGGATGGGAACATCTCTGAATGTCTCAATGTACTCATGTTTTCATGCCAGTGTTGTATCGAGCAGAATAGTAAATATCATTTAAATGATACGGAGATCTTGGAGTAAAAACAGCCTAATACAGTACAGACGGTTATGACTAGGTTAGGCCTAATGCATCTTATTGTAGCGCTACTATGGCTACTGCAGTCATGCCATGCTGTTAAAAAATAAATAAATAAATAAATCATTCCACTTCAGCGAGAAAACAGAATGCATCTAACATGTAATTTCTACAACTGGCGGTACTCAGAGGAAGGCTCTGACAATCGAAAACTAAAGCATCTATTAAGACTGCCGCATTAGCCTTGAGGAAGACAGACAGGCCACAAAAGCAAAAGTAAAATGGCTTAGCCAGGTCACTGTTTGCAACACTCAGAAATAGCTCTTCACATCTTGAACAGAGAGGCTTGACATTTGAGAAGCGTTTCGACCATGTAACAGTCAACTGGCGAAAATGTGGCTAATCACGCACACTGTGGGGAAGAAAGCAATTCTTCTTCAAAAGAGTTATAACTGAGTGTTCTCGTAATGCTCTGACTAACACCCTGCTTCATAACACCCAACCCGCGCTCCGGCTACGCGGCAAAGAGACGGCAATGTGATTTCTTTTATTTCTTCTTTTTTAGTAGCTTAGCTTTTAGGACTAATCTACAACCAATAGTCACCTCACGTGGCCCAGCGTGTTCACCATTGCAACGGACTGAAAAACAAAAACACTTTTTTTAAAAATAGAACCTCAATCTAACACATAAAATAATTGCTGACCCCCCCTACCCCCCCAAAAAAAAATCAACTTCCATCCGGTACCGTAATAGGTAAAATAAAGAGGGGGGGGCGGGAGAGGTGGGGTCAAGAAAAAATGCACGGGGAGAAAGAGAAAGCATTCATTTGGAAAAGAGAGTCGGCTCATGAGAAAGTGGGCCTGTCCAGTGTAGCGGTGCAGCGGGGCCGTCCCAGCAGGCAGCCCCTCTGATTTCATTAATTAACAGGACAAAGACTACAAAACAGATGGGCCCGTAGAGGAACTAGGGCTCCCGTGCTACCCCCACAGGCCCGCATACTGGATACACAAGCATCCGGATAATGTAGCGCCAACATAAGCACTAACGTACATCGCCCGTGCTTTGACTGGCTCATTACTGCACCTCCACAAGTAGCGTGTGAGCACACTTGCTGAGACCTTCTTGGAACAAAAACGGCAAACAAACAGAAGGTACCCCCCCCCTTTATCGTGGCATTATCACATTCAGTCACAACAACAAAACAGCTACGGGGCAAAATGAGACATAAGTATAGAAAGGGATTTGGTTCGGACCCGTCAGGGTCAGTCGGCAGAGCTCAAGTAATTAGCGACGCTTACTAATGAGGACCCCCGCCCCAAAACAACCGAACCAAACCCCTATGGCCCTGAAAGCCAAGTAGATTTTTTTTTTTTTGGTGTGCCAGGCCGGGCAATCGGGCATGCGTGCTTATGGTGGCGTGCACATGTAGCGCCTGGATCCACCTTCGGAGCCCGTCCAGGCTTTATCCAAACATCTGAGGCCGCGCATGGACCTCGGAAGCCCAATCCAGTTTGTTTCCTTCAATCCGATTAGTTGCTTTTCAGATCTATACTAATTACAGCAATCCTCCCGCCCTCCTCTTCGCCTCCACCTTCTCCATCCCCCTTTGTACGAGTCTTGACCACGTCAGCATTAACCGCTAATCTCCAGTAGAGCTCGCTCGGGCCAACGGCCAGCTTCTGCTAACCAGGTGTTCGAACAGTAGAAAAGTGCACTGCCATTCGGTGCACAGCAGCTGGTTCGAGCATATGCAGTTTCAGTGTGACTGCAGATGAAAGCCTCCGTGCCATACGGCCAGTAGCAAAAAAATAAAAAATAAAATCAACAAGACTGCACCGTGAGTTGATTTAAAGGTCCAAAAAGTCATATTACGGATGTTACGTTTTGGTCAGTGGATTTACTGTATGCGGTTTCGGGTGAAAAATGACTTGCCGGAAATAAATTTGTATGGTTTGTGGACAGGTGGAGTACAGATCCTGGGTCTTTTTTTAAATGTTATTTTTGGAAATGTTTCGGTACCATTCTCATTTCAGACTCATTTAATGACTCATGCTCCGTGTCCCATACATTTTGCATCTTCAATCAAAGTATTTGATTTTATGAGTCAAATTGGTGAGCATGGAGTACCGACATCGGGTCAACTGTATCATCCATTACAGTCTCGAAAAATACATTTTTTTTTTATTCCAATCAGCCGAAACGATCCCTTTTTATCATCCACAAATACTGTTTCGGACGACTATTAGTAATAACACAATGGAATCTAAAATAATTTTGTCTAAAACCAGGTTAAAACAAAGGAGGAGGAGAACCCCCCCCCCCCCCCCCCATCACTGATCTCACTCGTTCTTTCTCCCCTAACTGCTTCCAGTGAAGCATTTCTCCCGAGAAAACAAATACCAGTTGTGCCCTTCTCCTGTGTCCAGAAAACAGCACACCGCTGCCCTAAGGCCGTTTTCTGCTCTGGCAGGAAATCTAACCAGCAACAACCTCGCTCTAAAAACAATACATGACCTCGTATTTGTTGTCATTTGACAGTACGGTTCCAACAGCGTCATCAGAATTAAAGCTTCTGCCCATCTTCTAATGGAAAGCGGGATGTTAACGAAGGGTAAATGTTTAATGCCGCACGTAATGTCTCCGCGCTTTTACGGACCTTGCACCTGTGGATGTAGTTTACTTCCAAAGGCAGGAGCATTCTGTTGATATCTCCTATCTTTGTCATATGTTGTACCTTAAAAGCGCTTTTTCTCACACAGCAAAGGTTTTGGCTTCATTTGGAGACGGCCTAGCTTCAGATAATTTTTTTACCCGTTCCACTCAGGAATGTTTGTCTTTCATGTAATCCACATCCAACCGCAGACGGCTGTCTGGACTTTTAAGCGGCACACTGTGCATATAAAATGCAAATATTGAGAATTAAAAATGGATCTTTTATCAAGTGCCTTCGATATGACGTCTCATTCTTAAGGTGTTATATTACGGTAATCGCGAAGTTGTAACGCTGGTTTTAACTGACTCTCTTTCAATGTCCTTTGCAAATTTGAGGTGTTCACAAAACACCACGAAACAAAAACGCAAATTATACATTTGAATGAAAACAAAACTGGAGGTTACCTGCTTTTTTCCAAGTGTGCTTTTGGATTAAACCCATTTAAGGCTATGTGTGTCCCAAACCAACTGTATAGCCTTTTGGGTCTATTTCAGTTTCCAAGAGTTTCCAACACCTAACGATAGCGAAGGTCTGCAAAACTGCACATTTATAAGCTTCCTCCTCCAAGCGAGCGTTCACATCACACAAATCCACACGTGGATAAGCTTTCAAAATATGAGTTTGACATTTCAAATGAACACTTGATAGTTGTCCGGAAATTGTTTCCACACTAAAAATACAAACTATTGTGAGGACAACACAGTTTTTTGTCAGAGGAACTCCCAGCAGAGATATGCCACTTTCCGATTAAACTCAATTCACATACGAGCAAACTAACAAGATGCGTAACTGTCATGTGTCTATCCGTACCACACACGCGCGCATAAAGTTGTTCTTAAATGAATGCAAAATAGCTGAGAAGTTGTTATGGCGACATAAATCCCAACAGGCTGTGTACTTACAGCACTGTCTCCAGCGGCTGGCGTCACCCCCGGCAACAGGCTTGCTCCAACAACTAACCAACGCTACCTTTCTCCACCCTTGGGCCCATGCTGTGCCTCTCATTTTCACTCTCAAATCATCCTATTGTTATGTGTGTACGTGTGGTTAGGAAATGGCACAAGCTAACAACACCCAATCTACATGACCAAGACTGCAACATTCACACCTTCATAGAGATTTAAACGGAGTGTGTCACAGCATCACACATGTAGGTTGTGTGTGTGACACATTTCCGAACACTGTTGAGTGCCCACATGTTACATGTGTAGGAGGGGGAAATTACATGAACAGCGTCAGTAATTAAAACTGAACTAGCAGGCAGTCATGAGCGTCACTCCTGGCCTTCACAACAGTCACTCAACAACTCATTTCTTTTCTTCACATGCCCCTTCCCCTCATTGAGGACCACAAGAAAACATTTGCTACCAAAGAAAAAAACTCTGCGTAAACACCGTGAAGGTTTTGCGGGGGGCTCCGACCCCATTCAGGTCCCCCAGGTAACCATGGCAATGAAGACCAAGAAAGAACGCTTTCATGTTGGCGCCGTGAACCAGGATTTGGAGGGGGAAATGAGCAGAGAGAAGGGATGGAGGGGTAGGGGGTGGGGGTTGCTGCTCCAAAACGTACTCCTCAACTTTACAAGCCATACGGTGGGTGGCTAGATGCACTGAGGGGGAAAACACGCAACACACATTTGGAAAAGTTACAACAGTGAGTGGCACCATAAAAAAAAAAGAGGTGGGACTCACAGTTTTGGAGTCCAGCTCGTGTCTGTTTTGAGCCAGCACCTTTTCCACGCCGGCCTGGTCTGCGTATGTGACAAACCCGAACCCCCTGGGAGTGATCAGAAAGAACATAACTCAAACTTCAATCTACCCCATGTCCAAAAAGAGAGCATGCCAGTGTCCCATGCAGTGATTGGACAATGGGGTGCACACGCCCTCCTTCTTACCTCGACCTTTTGGTGATAGGATCTCGCATCACCATGCACTCCTTCACCTCTCCGAATTTGCAGAAGTAGTCCTTCAAGCCCTCTGTAACAAAGCAATCATTTTGCTTGTGAGATGACAGGATGAGCAATTTATACATGCGACCATTAAGCATATGACGGGTCTATAAGGACCCACACAACCAACGCTCCACTTGATGGTAATTGTTGTTTGGACACCATTGCAGTCAGTATGATAATAAGATGTAAGGGGGTGGGGCGGTGTGTGTGTGCGTGTGTGTGTGTGTGTGTGTGTGTGTGTGTGTGTGTGTGTGTGTGTGTGTGTGGGGGGGGGGGGGGCGAGGGGGGGGAACAAACGGGTGCCCAATCTGTAATTTGCTAAGGGTGCACGGAGCGCTGCAGTAAGCAAAACAACACGCCAGCGTGGCCATCAATAGGTAAACTTGTGAAGGCATCATCGATAGTAGCCTATTGGACGTTGTGTTTTACTTCGAAAAGGACACGCGAGTCGCTCAGTGAGTCTCTGTATGTGTTTTCAGCGTTAATCTCCTCGCGTCTCGGCAAGACTAAATCCGAAGAGATGATCCTCATTGAACAGAAAGGCAATGCGTTGAACTATTTACAGTTGAGTTGCAACTCGGTGGAATATGCGAGCGTAAACACGAATACATTCGACCGCTGTGTGTGCGTGTGTGTAAAGTAGCGTGCGGGACATCTCTCACCTTGTGTCGTCTGCCAACTCAGACCTCCGATGAACATTTTGCTGAATGGGAGAAACACAAGCAGAAAGTCACATAGGGAAACGTACGCGTTCTAGAAAAGCACAACACGGTAGCGATAAGAGGAGTGAAAAGTGGGGTCGGTGCGTGCGATATAGCATCAGCAAAGTAAGACGAAAGCATCGGCCATGTTGCGAAGTCACCAATGGGCCGGTGGGGCCGTTACAATCCCCAAGAGGACGAGAAGGCTGACTAAAAAGGGAGCGATTTTTCCCGTTGATGGTGCAGAAGTTGGAGCAAAATGTGGCCTCCGGAAGGAAGATGGATGTGGAAATTAAAAAAAAAAAAAAGAGAGCGTCTTCTCCGCTGAGTGGATCCATCCCACACACACAGAAACACGCACACACGGCGTGCTTGTCTTTTGTCTCGGCTCCACTCCCTCACTCAACTCAACTTAAAAGTCCAAGGTGAACTCGAACCGGGACGGGTAGGCCGGGCGAAAGCGGAGGCTTTTTACCAGGGGTCGTGGGGGGAGTTGTCCGTGACGGACGACAGGCTGCTCGGGCTCCCTTCCGTGTCCATGCCGCTCTGCGCTGTTGTATTCCCGCACTGAGAGGAGGCGAGGAGAGCCAGTGAAGCTCCGCCGCTTGCTGCTCCAGACTCAGGGGCGGGCATAAGCTAGGGGAGGGGAGGGGAGGGGGAAGGTGAGGTACACACACACACACGCACACACGAGTAGGGGGGGGAAGCCCCGCCCCCCGCCCGGCCTGTCTTTATTCACGGCGCCATTGGTGCCGCTCTCACCAGTGTTTCCCTGCGCTCACGTCATTGGCCCATCACAACGTGACGGCCCATGAAGGCGCTTTTGAATATTTCCCCTCTATCTATACACCCCTTGCCTCTCTTTCTCCCTCTCTGTGCATCATTAGCATGAAGAGGGCATCATTCCCTGCATTATGCGAGAATAATCAAGGGGCTATGACGTGGAACAACAGACTGGAGTGGACTATATTTAATACAGTTTTAGTTTTGTTTTGATGCATTACTGTATTGAGGGAAAGTCATGTTTTCCTTGTATTTCAAGGTCAAGTGTATGATGGACTCGGGCTTCTCTCGTGTGGAGTTTACTCCCAAAGACAACATGACTCTAAAGGAAAACATCTCCTTGGGACATGAAGTCTGCCTTTATATGTCTAGAGGAGTGAAAAGGGTCCTTCTTTTTACATTTGGCAGCAGATACTGTCCTTTTTTCCATGCTGTTTGGTGGACATTTTCAGTAGTTTCTTGCAGAGCATAACATTCACCTTTATTTAAAAATCAGGCACACTCATGAGCAGCACGGCAGTCTGGTGCTTCGCGGCTCTGCCTCACACGGCTTGTGTTTGAATCTTGTCTCCAGTGTTCCTGTATGTTGTGCAATTAGCATTTTCGCCCTGTCCATCTTCATTGAGGACTTAAAAACATCCAAGTATGAGTGTGAATTGTTGTTTTTCTGCATGTGCCTTGCGATTGGTTGTTGTGCAGCCCACCTCTCACCCAGAGTCAGTTGGGATTCACGCCAGCTCACCCATGATTCTAATGAACACAATCTTAGTCATTCCGTGTTTTTGTTTAATAGTGTGACAACATCCAAACCTTGGCGAAGGTCAACACTTTCTGAGTGATCTAATTCAGTACTCTGTTTCTCACACTCAGACACTGGCCTAAAATTCAGTTGGCACAAGCCTCCTGATTTGCGCAAACCTACTAGGCTGCTTTGCTGATGTCAGTTGCTTTTATCAATCAACTGTCACTCCTGAGTGTCTCTTCATTGAGCATTTTAAGGTCATGTGTCATTGGTGGGACCACTGTGTCCTGTGCATAGAATAATTGCGGCTAGCCTAATGTATGACAAATACATTACACCAAAGTATATGAAGCATAGATGATTTGTTGAGAGTGGGAATATTGTCATGCATGTGTGGAGGTAGGACTTGAAGTTGAAGTGAGCCGAACTTATTTCTATTTACACGGATGTACATTTTCATCATTAACCAACACCGAGTAAAATTCTAACTAGTACAAATGTTTGGTCAGAAAAAAAACACATTTAGGCCATAAATATAAAACAATCAAATGACAATGAGTAACTGAGTGCCTGCTTGCGCAAACCGATTCAACGTGTGCAGTTCATAATTTCAAACCAAGGACCCCATAGTTATGTAATCCATCTATCTATTTTCTAATTCGCTTATCCTCACGAGGGTCGCGGGCATGCTGGAGCCTATCCCAGCTGTCTTCGGTGAGTCGGCGTGGGACACCCTGAAATGGTTGCCAGCCAATCATAGGGCACACATAGACGAACAATTTAGAGTGGTCCATTAACCTGCCATGCATGATTTTGGAATGTGGGAGGACACCTGAGTACCCGGAGAAAACCCACGCAGGCATGGGGAGAACATAGAAACTCAACACAGGGAGGCCGGAGCTGGAATCGAACCCTGCACCTCTGCACTGTGATTGCTAACCAGTGCCACCGTATAATATGATGATAAAGATTTTAAAGGATTTGACAACGTTGCAAAAATAATGAACTAAAATAATTTGATGGTTAAAATGTTTTTCCATTTACCATATTTTCCGCATTTCGCACTTCAACACTCATCCCCGTCTGGCCCAACCCTCCAATACCTCTCGGCACACCTTTTCAAGCTACCCAGTGCCCATTCCAATACATCATGCTCAAAACTGCTGCGGTCACCGCTCTACATCTTTCAACCACTTCTTACACAGCCAAAGTTCAACCTCATCTAACCCCATTCCGGTCTTTACTGGTCCTTATTTCGTACAGTATTTACTCCTGCGGTGTCAACCTCATGTGACAGACAGCTCTAACCAGCTAAGTGGAAGATTAGCAGCATTACCTCAACGTCAGCTACTCTCTCAACCGGGGAGAGTTTGGTCAGCTGAGCCGAGCTACTGTGACCAAAGCCAAACAAATCACGGTGAAATTATTTCACTCTAAAGACAGTGTGAATTTAATCACAGAAATTAAAGCCACATTCACCTGTCGAATGTGTGTGTGTGTGTGTGTGTGTGTGTGTGTGTGTGTGGGTGTGTGTGTGTGTGTGTGTGTGTGTGTGGGTGTGTGTGCGTGTGCGTGTGCATGTGTGTGAGGCAAATCAGAGGGAGGGTGTGACTGTGGCCCGGTGGACCATAGCGAGGGAACAGTATGTAGGACAGGGCCTTGCGCCATGCAGCTAACTTATCCTGTTGGCTGGGCGTGCTCAATTTCTGCATGCATGATCAATGGTACTGGATTAAAAAAAGAGAGGAGGGGGGGGGGGAGTCAGCAGGGTGTTGGAGCGGCATGAACAACTTTGAGGGATTTGAGCAAGTACAATAAAGTAGGAACTCACTTCTCTCGATGACATTACTTGTATTTTAAACATAACAAACAAGGATCATACGAAAGAAGCGTCATTGTTTGTGCAGTTCCATTTTTCCAATTGTCATGTTTTTGGAAACACGATGACATGATTCATTTCTATTTTTCAAACATACTCCTTCTAGTGTCCCTTGTGCTTTGTTGCCGCTCCTCTACCTTAAAACACTGCGGTAGTTTGTCCAAAACAGTTCTTCACCCCTTTTTTTTTTTGTTTTCTTGACCACAACTGACCCACAGTGGGAACCCATTGTCTCTGTGTGAACTTTGACCTCTTAGGGCCTGGGACCTGTACTGCACCAGCCTCGGGGCACTTTGAAAGAGAGCTGAGAAGGAGAAGCCAGAGAAAAAGACTTTTCAGCATGTGAAAAGCCGGCAGCTGTGACAGAGTCGGTTCTTGGCTTTGATGGAGGCTGGAGACTTGACTCGCATGCGGAAAATGTGAATTGCAACTCTAAGTTCAAATGACCCTCGATTCAGAATCTGAGCAGAAGCTTTCTGAAAAATTCTCCCTCTAAATTCGCACAACACTCCAGAGGTCAAATCATCACCGTGTGTATTCTATGAGACTGCGGCTCTCAGTGAGCATTTAAAAACGAATGATGTCTACTTTTATGTACGCGAGTTATTGGTGAGTGCACAATTGTTTTTGAATTTTAATCGACAACGTATCCTGTAAATTAATGTTTTGTATACATAGATTTTAGTTAAGCATGTTAAAAAGAGCGAGGCATGAAGTCAAATCGCCTGCAGCCAGCTTCCCTCTATGCTTCCTTATGTGCTTCGACTATATTATGGGTCAGCAAAGGGTGAGTAGTTTTCTGTGATTTTCTCTCATTATACTGTTGCTTTGCTTAGTTGTGAAGTAGTTTGGATGTGAAGTAGGTGATATGGCTTTGTCATTATTGTATAAGAAAGGCTTGTATTTGCTAAATTGAAGGAGGTAGAGGAGATGAGTAGCTGCTAAAAAGGGGGACACTGGGAGATTAAAAAAAAAATTCCCTCCATTTTCTCGATGCGGTTTACTAAACAGGTCCGCCCAAATCTTTTGCAGTTAGCAGTTTGAAATCACTCCGCCAACTCCTTTCCTATGGGATATGCCGTCTGATGTCACAGTGACGCCGTTCCCAAAACAATTTTTTTCCCACATCAAAACATCTATCAAACACAACTGTTCACCGTTTCAACATCTTTAAAGCGAGCGTGTGTCCAAGTATGTACGGTATGTTTAGTTCATCAAACAACAACAACAACAAGCTGGAGGGCCAACATTGAATGCACCATTTGGCATGGGCGTAGTTTCAACTTGACAGGTGGCGTGTGGAAGAAATCATTAGATGTGAGAGGAGAGGGGGCGGAAATGAGCACACCTGTGCTGCAGCCAAGAACCCCACCTTGCTTCTCCAGCCACAAACCCTCCATTCCCCCGGGGAAGGTGTGGCGAACGAAGAGAGACAAAGGGAGGAGAGAAAGGGAGAGGAAGGAAGAGGTTGCCGGGAAGCTTTTACAGGCCTCGTCAACCACCGACTGAGGGTTGAGTTCACCTTTTATTAATCATTCGCACACAAAACAAACGGCTGGGCCGGCGCTGCGGGAAGACTCTGAAGAAGCTTCTGAAGGTGGCTGTGAACTTCCTGTATACAGAAGCACACCACGACTTATAGTACAGTATTTACCGTGATGACACGGGACTATTTCTGTCCGTGGGCCGTCTGAGAGTAAGCACACGACCTCTCTACGCTGTAATACCACACACACGTCTTTTGGGAAAGCCCCCCCATTTCTACCACAGAAACAACATATTAAGTAAGCCCTGTTACAGAACAACAGGAACTGAAATCTTTGTTCGCGACAAGGAAATTAGTATCATAGCCAATGTACTGTCGGTGATTTTCGGAATTGGTAGCTCACTTTTAGGAAAGTCAAACAGTGGCAACTCTCCCATCAGTGGGAGGAAGAGCAGTGCCGATTGGATGGCACCGTGCCGGTATATACAATATTTTATAGTAATACCAACATAGCTTTTCTTAAATAGTGATTTAATTGCAAAATCAATGTTTATCTTGCAGAAAAGCATATTAATCCCGTGTGTGTTTGTGTGTCAGCCCCTCTGGTTGTTTTTTTATCGGGGACTTCAATTTGGAAAAGGAATCTTTGCAACTTCTTTTGATCTCTGTCATAATTTGTCATTGATAATTCGCGTGGGAGTTTTTTTGTATGATTTTGTTGTTTTTTTTGTCGGCGGAAGAGAATCCATTCATCCATCCATTCTCAGTAGCACAAAAGCTCACAAGAGTCATGAGTGAGCTGGAGCCTATCTCAGCTGACTTTGGGCAAGATGCGGAGGTACGCTCTGAATAAAATGGTAGAATGTCAACTTGTCAAGAGCTCAGTAAAAATGAGGGCGTATGCGTTAAAGCATTTCATGTTGCTGGATGGTGTCCGGAAACGTCTCGATGATGGGCTCGTAAATTTGTTGTGCACTGTTTGCACAGTTAGACACTTAGACGGCGCTTCTAAAAACAAATGAAGACAAGTTTATGATGTGATGATCTTGTTTTTTTTTTTTTTTTTTTAGATTTCGCTTCTCCACTACTTGCTGCTTTCCCTTGACCAAGAACGAGGAGTGTCGATGAGAGGCGATGAGAGGATCAATAAGTTGCTGACATTCTTCAATGATGAGTGTTGTGCTGGTCATTGACAATAAGGGTGAATCATAAAAGAAATCTGATAGCTGAAGCAAAATTTGATACAGACCAAAATGTCGTCTGCCCTTCAGCCAAATTTGGCTGGGATAGGCTCCAGTATCCCTTGGGCAGCACGGTGGCCTAGTGGTTAGAGGCGGTTCAAATCTTGGCTCCAGGCTTCCTATGTGTAGGTTGCACACGTGATCCACATGGCATGCTTGGGTGTTTTTTCTCTGTTTTCCTTCCACATTCCAAAAACATCCATGTCAGCTACATGAAAGATTTAAATGATCCATAAGCCTATCACCCGTGACCGCGCTATGGAAAATTTGGATTGTTGATTATCGCAAAAAGACTGTGAGAGGATTGTTATTGTTGTGGCTGTGTTATTTAGAAATGAGGTTGGTGTCTTCCCATTTTTTTTTTCAAATGAACTTTAAGGAGGGCACTTTTGTAACACAATGAGCTATGTGTAAGCTTCTTGATCTCGGATGTTGTTTATTCACAGTTATACAACCCCTCCATGTTTGCTTCTGCCCTAAACCCCCTTTTAATTTCGGGTGGAGGTGATGTCACTTAAAGCAGTTGCTGGAAATGACATCATGACACAGACAGATGGAGTCACGATGTTGGAGAGCATTGTGCTACCAGCCTGCGGTGATTCATTATCTCTTTATCGGAAGATGCAGGCAATGTTGTGTTAACGCGCAGTGGCTGTCACAGCAGCACCTTGCAAAAAGGAGCGCGATGAGAGGAAGAGGAAGTGTGTACGGAAAGATGATTTCTCTCAGGGCAAGGAGGCTCACTGGTGGCATGATGCGTACCTCTCTCCAAAGAACCTTCCAAACACACACGCAAGTGAAAGTGCAGTGTGTCCCTGCATCTCTTTTAATCCTTTTTCCACTCCCCCCTCTATTTTTTTTTCTTTCACCGGACCTCTCATCGCCATTCCGTGCTGCTATTTATAGGAAACTACTGCACCCTCCCTCTCTCTATGTCCCCCTGCTTGAGTGCAGATCCGCCTGTGTTTCAAGGAAGCTTCAACAGACCAGAGCTTCTCGCTCCTAATCACTATCGTGTGTGAATCACTCATCAGCATACATGAGAAGGTGTGTGTGTGTGTGTGTGTGTCGTGGGAGGAGTGGGAGTGCAACTGAATTTTCCCACTTGTCCAGTTGCTTCCGTGCACCGACCCGCCACTGACTGCTGTTCCACGAAGGCTTGGGAACATATAAATCATCCCTGGGAAGTTGGAAAGTGCAATAAATACATATGGCAGCGCTCGTGTTTGCATGCTAATTTTACACCCACTGACATGATGTTTTTGTGAGATTGATATCAAACACAACACGTGGTCCGGTCGAGCGCAGCTGTTTTACTTGCGTGCTGCACTTTGTGCAGGCCTCCAGCGAGCCTGATGAAAAGCTGTGGTTATTGATTTATGAGATCACACTGTAATGGTGCCCTTCTTTGTGGGCTAATTCGCAACTGACACATTGGGCCTTCACAGTCTACCTCGTCATGCTTTATTTGAAGGGTCTCATGCTGAATTATGACATCAAATACAAACCCATGGAAGGGTTCCCCAAGGACAAATGGCTGCCGCTTGCAGTCCGCCTCAGCGTTTCCAGGCGGTTTGATTGTCTTTTTGTTTTTTTCTACTGTTCTCTGTCCACTACCTGGCCAGGAGCAATTGGCTTGAGTAGCAACATTAGCGTGTTCAGCCAATTAGCCTCTGGGATCGACGCAGAACATAGCAAAGCCAAACGGGGTGTACTACAAGCAAGATGGGACACATACAGATGCTACAATCAACTCAATCATGATAATCATTACAGTGTATCCTTTATGGACTCCTCGTTGTCTGATTTCATTCCGCATGAGTGATTACAGAAGGGCCTCGGTTCTATAGTAAGTCTTGTGGTATGATGAGACCCTATGTGGATGCCTAACTAGCATGTCAGATAAAAAGAAAAGAGCTGAGAAAAAATGAAAAATGAGAGACTAAATTGAATGAAGGAGTGGACAGGAAAGGGAGCTTTGTCAAGCAGTGTGTGAAATGTATTTCAGAGTGTGTGTGTAGGGAGGAGAGAGCAGAGGGGGTCCATTGTGGATCTTTGTGTGGCTCAGATTGTCCTCATCTCTGGGAAAGTGGAAACTCAACCCTGCTCTCCGGAGGTCTGGTTACCAGGTGAGAGAGGCCGACAGAAAAGGGGGAAAACAGAACGGGAGAGTCGCACAGGTGTAGGAAGAAAGACAGAAAGGGACCCTGGGATTTCGGCCATGAGTGCTGGAAAGATTCGTGGAAATTGAGAGAGGCTGCATGAGACAGATGAACACAGTTGGGAGAAAACAGCGTGAGAAAGAATTACAATTCCACTCCAAAAGTCGTTTTAAAAAATGATCTGATGTGCCTTCTATAAAATCACTCGGGCAACCTGTACGCAAAGTGGTCAACGTTAGCTGGTAGAGTTATATTTCTAGAAACTTACCACGGTGGTCTTTTTTTTTTTTTTTTTTACAGCCGAGCAAGAAACGGAACTGAAAGCAAAAGCGCTCATGTTGATTTGGAACAATACTCCCCCTGGTGGCAAATACAGGAATTTACTTTCCCATCAGCACAACAAAGTTAGCCTTGGCAATCTCAGGACAGACAAAGCATTATTCATGCTCACTTCACATCGATTAGGCTTTTAAAGTCTTTTAATCAACCTAATATCTGTGTTTTTTTTAATGTTGGATGAAGTTCGGGTACGTGGAGAAATCCCACGCAAGCACGTGGAGGAAATGTAAATTCCACACACTCCTGAAGTGCTAACCACTAAGCACGCTGTGCTGCCCTTTTTCTGCCCACCACATTGAAATAACTGAAGCTCTTGTACTCTTTGATCTCCAAATGTTCATTTATTTCATCATATTCAAACAACATCACTTATACGAACACCAACACAAGGTTTCCTTAAAAGGATGACCATAGCACTCAGATTCCAGTTTGATTTCCAAAAAAAAGCTTATTAATATTGAATGTGATGGGTAACATCCTTCACTTTAAAACAAGGCCTCATGCACTCAATACCAAAATGTTTGACTATTCCATACGGTACTTGAAATTTCTTATTTTAAAGGTCATTTGTTTTGTTTACAGACTAGTACACCATTTAATCAGGATTATTTTCGTCTTAAGACGGTGAGTAAAAAGTAGACAAGTAGAAAAACATAACACTGACTGAATGAACTCTTACAGCATGATTGTCTGTCTGTGTTTTCATGCGAGGGTGTTAAAGCACGATAGGTTGTGGCCAGGGGGTCGCAAGACTGACCATGTGTGTTTGACAGGAGTGTTTTTGTAGATTGAGCCTCTATTTTTCCCTTGGTATTGTCTGGAGTGAATTGTGGGGGCGGTAGCTCAGAAGAGCAGCTGCTTCTGACAAACACTGAGAACACACTGTGACACTCGGGGCTTGAATAAATTGTTTTGTGTGTTTATGTGGGTGTTGCTGCATGTTTGATTGAAAGGACATCTTTAAAAAAAAAAACTAAAATGAGGCCTAGCATATTTGAGACCACCACAGCAAAGCCTATTTGGTCACAGCAGTCACCGGTCAAAGTAAGATTGCAATTCATACTCAATATTATTTTTTTTTTTTATACAAGTGCATCTCAATAATTTTGAATACCATCGAAGAGGCTTTTTTAAAAAAAAAATGTCATTACCTCAATTCAAAAACTCTTTATTCTGTAGCTTCAGTCATATACCGACACATGGGGAAATATTTTCCGACCTAAATTCCATATATTTTAAAAATTATATATATGATATGCTTTATGTAATATTCTAATTGCTTGAGTTAATTCAAATTACTGTATAAAAAATAAATCATGAAATATGTCACTGAATTAAATGAAGTTTTCCACAACATTCTTTATTCATTGAGATACACCTGCATGCCCGAGTACATGCATGCATTTGCGTTTTACCTGTGCATAAATGTGTTGCCGTTCATGAGTGTTACATGCTTGCAGCTATTCACTGCCCTCCGTTATATGCATAGTCAGCCTTGTTGTGCATGACCAGTCTGTTCTCCACAAAATAAAAGCTGTCGGAGCGGGTCTCGTAGGGAGAGTCCACCATCTGACGAACTGAAGCAACAAAAGACAACACAAGCAAGTTAGCCGTCCCTACATCACAAACGTTGGAGGTATGATCGGTGATACATTTAGAATGCCAGTTTTTATATGACTATGAGGTCCTTTCTTATTCCTGAGGAAAATTCCATGAAATACAAGAGGAGGAGCAGGCGTGGTTTCATGTGAACAACTAAAATGAGGCTTTAAATTCCCCTCAGGCGGGTGTTGATACAATGCTCAAATGTGCATGACGTGTTGGAGAGGTTATTGATCGCTCTGATCTTCCCTCCACTTCACAGATCCATTCCTCCGGGAAGCTGCACTGGAAAAACGTCCATTCAGTCAAGTGGCTCGTGTGTCTTCTGAAAATTACAAGCTGTTGAGTTCCCTTTTTTTGTTTGCTTGTTGAGAGCACCATATGCAGGTATAGTGTTTAATTTTTTCAAACACAGCGATAGAAAGAAATAGGGTAGAGGTGGTGTCTATTTCTTCCCCTCAGGGTACAATTTACACGAATGTACAACACACCTTTGTAACTGTACTAATATCAAGGGCCAATAAAGTGCAAATATATACAAAGGTTCAGTTTCAGAGGCAAATTGATAGTTCAGTTCCTTTGGCCATGCTATATTTGATATCAGACCAATGGAGATCAAGCTGGAGATTGTAAATGGGATGGTTGCGGCAGCAGAAAAATAAATGTCAAATTAAATCAGGTCAGCGTGACTTAGTGAATTGCCAATCAAGCAAACAAACAATTCAAATTTCATTGTCACACGTATGCATGTAGCCGGCAACTCAAGTGGGGGGGGTGAAAAGGGGGTGGGGGTTGCCCCAATAACCCCAAGCCACACACCCCTGAATGTGTTGGACAGAAAGGTTAGGATGTACCTAAATCGACAGCATATGGCTCAACCTTCAGTCCACGCCCCCGAACATAAATTTTATAAAGCATCCGTATGGAAGAAAGATGCGTCCAGCCGAACAGAAAGCAGCTATATATCGACAGTAAGGTTCAAAATCTGCCGTCAGCAATACTCGTCTCTTCCCCCATGTTCCTTCTCCCAGTTGACAATCATCTTGAGGGGCCATCATTTCCAGGTGCTCACCCCAGCATCAGCTGTGCTTTGCATGCCACTTCTTACCCCAACAAAGGACACTGAAAAAAAACGAACTGAAGCAAACCATACCACAAAGTGGCCGCAAGGCGTAGATAACCGATCTGTACTGTACCATCCTCCACAGTGGCATGCAGTGAGTCATTTGTTTTGGAAAATTGTCACAACGGTAACGGAATGATAAAAAGACAAAGGGATCCTCAAACAAAGCTTGTCCCCCCCCAAAGAAAAATGCCCCAATAACCCCAAGCCACACACCCCTGAATGTGTTGGACAGAAAGGTTAGGATGTACCTAAATCGACAGCAAATGGCTCAACCTTCAGTCCACACCCCCGACCATAAATTTTATAAAGCATCCGTATTAAAGAAGGATGCGTCCAGCCGAATAGAAAGCAGCTATATATTGACAGTAAGGTTCAAAATCTCCCGTCAGCAATACTCGTCTCTGCCCCCATGTTCCTTCTCCCAGTTAACAATCATCTTGAGGGGCCATCATTTCCAGGTGCTCACCCCAGCATCAGCTGTGCTTTGCATGCCACTTCTTACCCCAACAAAGGACACTGAAAAAAAACGAACTGAAGCAAACCATACCACAAAGTGGCCGCAAGGCGTAGATAACCGATCTGTACTGTACCATCCTCCACAGTGGCATGCAGTGAGTCATTTGTTTTGGAAAATTGTCACAACGGTAACGGAATGATAAAAAGACAAAGGGATCCTCAAACAAAGCTTGTCCCCCCCCAAAGAAAAATGGTGGATGTCCTGTATTGTAGCCCGTTGTTTGCTTTGTCGCAGTTCTCATCCATTGTTGGATTCACTGGTGGGTTACGCAAACGCTGTCATGTTCCGATGATGTCACCTTATTTACGTAGCTGACTCGCTGATCTCCATCACAACGACACACCCCACGGTGGAAACCCAAGTCAGATCAGGGTTTCAAGTTCCCAAAGCAAAAGACAGACTATGCCCTGAATTAGTTGTCGGCCAATCCCAGGGAGACTGCGAATGGTCTTTTGAGTGAGACTTGATCTCATGTTAGCTTGACAAATGTTCTTTGTGAAGTCTTTCCCAACCGCGGTGCGGGAAATTATCCAATTTCACTTAATTGGTCTATGCTAGCGACATCAGGATACTTGTCCACTCGATTGCAGAAGGTACAATGCACCTGTGTATCTACCTGTTGGCACTCATGCACCAGAAAAATAGCTTTGTGTTCAACTAAACGGGCCCATGTTTCACACTGTGTGAGCGCATCTGTACTTTGGGTGACATTATTGTTTGGTGCTATGCTGTGACTTTTGTGTCATGTAAAACATGACAACAATGGAAACATCGTTCTATTTATGTGAGCCACTACATTGCCAATGGTCCATGGCAGCAGCGCACTTACCCAAGCTCTCGGACAGCTGAGGGAACTCGTAGATGTGCTCACAAGTATTCCGGCTGTTTGGGATGCAGAAGCCAAAGTCAAAGTCGAAGCTTTTCAGTAGGCGATCTCGGAAATAGTGCCGCTCGATCATTCGGAAGTTGTTAAGAGGTCGGTTCCCGACGGTGAATTCCACTCTGGTAAGACGGAGAAGATCACAGACTGAAGTCACGGGGTTTGTGGAGGAGGTTGATAATTTAGTCACTTACGTGGCTCCCACGGTCATCAGGCGCAGAAAGGCCGTGGTGAACTGGTAGCGTGCAAACCGCCCCGCGCTTCCATCGCTCGCTCGATTTTCATTGTCCTCCTCTACAAGCCATAGCAAAAGGGAGATGTTTTTGTTTCATCCGACATCAACCTCCAAACCCCCTTGACATACGCGACCCGAGGCGTAGTTTCAATTTGGTGAGTATATGTTGCTTTGTAATCATCACTGACGATTAAGTTAAAGCGAGGCCATGGCGCACAGTGTGGGCAAGCGATGGGTACCTGAGCATCAACCTCCAAACCCCCTTGACATACACGACCCTGAGGCGTAGATTCAATTTGGTGAGTATATGTTGCTTTGTAATCATCACTGACGATTAAGTTAAAGCGAGGCCATGGCGCACAGTGTGGGCAAGCGATGGGTACCTGAGTGTGGAGGTTTGGCGATCTCAAACAGAACAGTGCCTGTCTCCAGGTCTCTGATCTTGAAGCGTACAAAGTCGATGTTGTAAATATTGTCCTCGGGTTTACAGAGGTAGCCTGGGATGATAACAGACAGTTTTGCCTCTTAGGACGTCAAACCGTCACACAGTATAGTCATTCTTCTAGTGCACGCTGAATTGCCTAACTAGTGAAAAGAGGACAAGAGTGTTCTTTCTAGTACCTTGATGGATATCAAGGATTTGAAATTAATGCTCAAACGGCACGGCCACCCACTTGTGGGGAGAGAAAGAAAATATTGTAGCCTGAAGCTACCATTTCATTTCATGCTTAAATTTTAACAGGGTTTTCAATGGCAAAAGCTATCCAATAACTCCGACTGCAATTGGACTTTAATTGTTCACGCCGTGTATTCTGCAGGCTGTTAAGAGGTTATTTATGTCCCCATACATTGTCAGTAAGGGGGGCGATAAAAGGGCCAATTTCAAGAGGCTCTGCAGGGAGTCAAACCTCGTGTGGGCAGCCGCAGTCCGAGGATATCCTCCGGCGTGACGGTTCCGTTCTGCGCCCGCAGGTCGTCCTCGGTGACGGGCCTGCTGTCCACCTGGTTCCTCCGCGATTTGAGCCGCTTGAGAACCCCTCCGCTCGGCTTGCGTTCTCGCGGGGGGGCCGCGGAGCCGTGGCCGCAGCCGGAACTTTTGTCAGCCACCGGCGCGTCGCTCATCTTTGACTTCCCTCGTAGAACCTTGTCTGATAAAAACGTGCTATTTCAATGCTATATAAAGATAGCGGCGTAGATTGCGAATGTGGAAGGAAGGACCAAACTCTTGATTTTGTCTGCGCATGCTGTACTGTTGCCCAGACAACGCCAAAGCGTGGGGCCGGTGTAGAAGTTCTTCAAATGTCCGCTAGGGGGTAATGAACACTCTTAAATTGTCATAACCAGAGGTAGAGCGCTAATTGCGGTCGTGTTCGAGCAGAAGTTTTAATAATCAAAACGTGAAACTACTCAAGGTAAATACCAACCAAATTTCAAACATTAAATCAACTCCTGAAGGAAGTGAATTTTGGGGTGAAATAAATTTGTGGTTTTGGGCACGGCTGCCTCAACAGTTCTGACTTTCAAGGTTTCAAATCTTGGCCTTCCGTTGTGGAGTTTTTTTTCTCCACTTGCTTGTGCCCGTTCTCTCCAGGTACTCCAGAGTCCAAGAACATGCATCTCTGGTTTATTGAACATTCGACCTATTCCATAGTAAGGAGATGCGTATGATTAATTGGTCGTCTGTATGTGACCTGCGATTGACGGATGACCAGGCCAGGGTGCATCTTACCTCTCGCCCAAAGTCAACTGGGATAGACTCCAGCTCTCATGGGGACAAGAAAGTGGATGGATGATAGATTCGGGGTTTTCATAAACTTTAGGCTATAATATTTGAGTTTCACGACTGACTTAAGTGCTCAGGTAACAACCGTCAAAGCTCACCTGTTTTGTGGGTTTGGTCATGTGACATTTGCAAGCTGAGCCCTTAGGCACGCTCATGACATTTTCAGCCAACTGCAAGTGACGAAATGGCCACCCCCTGAGATTGATAAAAAAAAAGGTGGACTTGGCTGCTTAACTCATATTCTACAAACTCGATATTAATCGTTTTAGACTCGTGAACACATCATTGTCAAGAACATTTTTGATTTGACTTCCCCTTTAAATTACCTCGTTATATTCTCAACTGTCACACAAGAATAAAAATAGAAAAGGTGTACTCAACCTTCGGTTGCATGCTGATTATTGCCGTAGCTAAACACACGTGTACAGTTGCTCACTGAGCTGAATTCTCAAAGATTAAACATCCAACGCAATTACAGGAATTGCACACCAAAGATGAACAGTCATTAATTTGTATATGTACAATTTGTTTTAAATCTTGTCGGATGTAAATTAATGCTGAGGTACTCGAATGCCTGAAACAAAGAAAGAGATCATGTAAAAACTCCACACAAGGCAACCAAAGCTTGGATTCCGACCCCATCCTCAGTACCGAGAGGACGCTCTAACCTCTCGTCCACAGGTATAAAATGTATTAATTTTAAAAGAAAATTAAACTGCCAATCTTTCATGCCAAATCCTTCAGATAGTCTCAAATGATTCAAATGGCACAATATGATTAATGTATGTACGAATATTCCTCAATCATCTCAGCGGACATTTAAATTTCATTTGTGTGGTTGCTCCTTTTCTAAGTACAAAAGGCAAATGAACCTCGTGGAGCACCGATGTGCTATGCAAATTAGGCCTTTTTGATCGTTGCGATAGTCCAGGTCACCTGGACAGTCCCAGTGACGCACAGTGAGCTGTGTGGATCTACAGTATTTCCTTTTCTCTTCAATAGCAGCGTACCTTCAACAAAAACCTGTTTATCAGGTCCACAAGGCAGAGTCGTCAAGCTTATGTCAGCGCCAAAAGGAAACAGCTAGTAAGAATATTCAAAGTAAAATGTTGCCTTACTTCTGTATGTAAAAATATCACTCTGCATACACTATAACATGATAGATATTTCTAGTGTTTCTGGGCTAATCGGCGACAGTATACTTCAGTTCTAATTTATACTGTGTTCAGGCAGTAGGCGAGCTACACCCTGAACTGGTTGCCAGCCAATTGCACATAGACGAACAACCACTCGCACTCACAATCACACCTAGGAACAATTTAGAGGGTTTCATTAACCTGCCATGCATGTTTTTTGGATGCGGGAGGAAACCAGAGTACCCGGCGAAAACCCACACAGGCATGGGAAGAACATGCAAAGTCCACACAGGAAGGCCGGAGCCAGAATCAAACCTTGCACCTCTGCACAGTGAGGAGAACGTGCACACAGTTGACCACCGTGCCAATTATGACAAAGAGTATCAGTCAAAAATGTGTCAAAACACAAAAAAAAAGATGTGAGATGTATTTTATTGAATGAAATGCCTAATTGGTCAACAAGTAAAATAGTACTTGGCGAAGAAACCATTGATGATGTTTGGGTATGTCAGGAGGTATTTTGTTCCATTTGTCTCGACAGAAACTTTCTAAATCCTTCAAGTTTCTAGCCACTGCTTGCAAATGCAAAGATTTAGCTCCCTTCACTGCTTGCAAATGCAAAGCTTTAGCTCCCTTCACAGGTTCTTTGTCCGGTTGAGGTCTGGAAACCAACTAGGCCACACCTTGACTTTAATACGATTCTTCTTGAGTCACTCCTTTGGTGCCCTGGCATCCAATCCACAGCCCATCTTCAGTGCTCTTGTTGAGGAAATAAGGCACGACAGCTCCACAACATTCCTGTATGTTCCTACCTCTTGATTGTGCGAATTGCGTTCTCACTCTGATGCATTTAGTTTTTCGTCATCCAAACACAGAGAAACACTTTGATAACTCAAGTTTGGTTTCATCTGGCAACAGCACTTTTTCCCAGTCTTATCTGAGTAATTTAGTTTCGTTGACTGTTCAGCTGGGCAAGCTCACGCTCGTGTCTTCTTTTGTTGGGGAAACATGGTGGGTACTACAAATTAAAGTCTTATACAGCACAGTGCTTTTGTTAGGTTGATTGTTTTTAGTTATCATACATTTGCTTATTATTAATAATAGATTCCTTATGCCTGCAATGATAAATTGATTGTGCCTGCAAGGAAGAACGCGTATGCTTTTAATAAAGATATAATGATTTTAATCATTATATACTCACATTTATAATCAAGAATGCTTCGTGCACTGTGTGGCAGTTGAGGGACGCAACCACCTTTCCGAAGAAGTGGTTGGGAAGAGATAAGTATTCAGACTAAACAGGAGCAAGGTCGAACGTGGACGGAACTGTGAACACCAGCTGCAACTTGGTGTTTTTATAATGATTGCACACATGTACGTAATTTTCACTCACATACACACACATAGTCAAACAAGTTCAGGGTGTCTTCAATAGCCCTCATCCTTTAGGTTGGACGCACCCATGTATTAGATTCCCAATAAATGAGAGGGCGAGCGGGGAGATCCTTGGGGTGACGTGCAGAGAACTGAAAGCAACGCTTCTCCTCGTTCCCCCCGGTACCAGAATTGAGTCTCCTGTCTCCTCCTTGTGTTTTATGTCTGAATGTCAAATTGATGGACCTGACAGCTTTCTTGTCGACCAAGTTCCCGACTGTTTTCAGAGCATCAACCAATACGACAGCATTGTTCCGTTTCGTGCCATTAGATAGCACAGGGGTCACCACTCTTTTTGAAACTGAGAGCTATTTGTGGGTAATGTTTAATGCTAAGGGCTACCGATATGATACGCACTTCTGAAGTAACAAATTTGCTCATATTATTCGGGGGTAAATCATTTCAATGTAGTTGCACCCAGACTTTTCACTGCGAAGGTGATGGTTTAGTCATGTGCTCCAGTACTGACCTTTGACCTGTACTTTAAAAAAAATATATATTATCATTACCAACATTTCACCAAAGCAAGGGTGATTTAAAAAAAGAACAGCAACAAAAAAGATGTGTGATGCTGTTTACTGGTAAGTTGAACTTTTTTTAACTTTTTTTTTTTTTTTTTTTTTAACACAAAGACATGTCACTGATGAGCTATCATTTGAATTGTCCCACGGGCTTCTCAAGTGGTTCTAAGGGGCTACCTGGTGCCCTCTGGCACCATTTGGTGACATCTGCTCGAGCTTGGGAATTTCTCCATTGCGAGGCTAATAAAGGTTTTCTTATCTTATCTTATCTTATCTGTGTACAGCCATTGAAGATAGCAAAACAGGGCATTTTCGAGCGGCTTTTTATTGTGGGCAGCCCAAGGCACAACTGCAAAGAATCGTGCTGTCAAATCAGGATGTCTGATGCTGTACCGATGAAGTGGAAGGCAATGGAGAAGTGCTCACTAGATTTAGACATCTTTGTGGACAATATTTGAGAGAATGAGGTATTTTATGCAAACGCGGAAATGCCTTAGATCTTTGAGTTCACATCATTCTTTTATTTTGAAAGGCCCGGTCTGTATTTTCCCCTCTACCAACATGTGTAACTTAACCTCAAAAACTGTGTGCTAGGTCGAGCTGAGGAGGAGTGTGGAGGAGGGCAGGGAGTGTTTTCAGAGGCGTCCACACATTGTGACGCCTCCTTAGTGGGAATGAGGAAAAAAACAGCGAGAAGCAGGCGAGACGGTGGAGGATAACGCTAAGTTATTTATATTTTCCGTTCATAACTTCCTCCCACTTCCTTCCTTCTTCCCGATCTGTATGACTGCGTGAAGACTAAAAGGTAAATCAAACACGTTATTTTACATCTATACGGAGCAGGTGCACGCCACGCACGCCTTTTATATTTGTGCTGTAATTGTTGAACCGTGTGGAAATTTGCATGCCTTCAACGCGTTGGCTGATCGTTCTGGTTGATTTACTTGCAAAAGTTCCACACTTTTAATGAGTTTCTCCAGTTCAGTGACCGAGAGTTGACGTGTCTATCCGTTACTTATTAACACGCTCATAAAACAGCTCGGGTCTAACGGCTTTTATATTGTATTGTTATTTCAAGTGGCGTCTTTGTGGGCTTCTGAAGGCGCTGCATCACACTACTGAAGCAGGTGAGCAGCGCGTGAAAGGTGGGCAGCCAAACAAAGATGACGAAGCAGAACGATTTCCCCGTTCCACGGTTAAGCGTGACTACATACACCGAATATATGGATCATCTATCAAGTGCAGTTTGACTTTCCAGGCACCAGTTTGTTTCCCACGATCACCTGCGAGGAGGAGATGTTATTGATTTGAAAATGGGTGGCAGCTTTTCATGTGATCGCTCATTATGCGCCACGCTCCAAGTCTGGGGGGGGGGGGAGAAGGCGCTACTACCCACCCCCCATGCAAATAAAAATAGACGCGAACAGTGGTATTTGAAATCAAACAAAGCTATGAATTTGTGATTTTGTGTTCACGAGGCTGACACATTAATTCACCTTATGGGTGGGGATCTGAGAGACCAGTCGGTTCCAAAAGACTGACAGGTCAAACCAGATGCTGCAAACAATGCCTGGGGAATTTGTAGTGACACATTTGGAAACGCCACTTTACACTCCGTGTAAACACACCGTCACTCTTGTGAGAGTGCCTGCTATTGGCCAAAAATGCTCCCATGGCTGTTCAGTAGCTGATCCTCAAACCACTATCGACATGTGGATCTCATACCAAACTGATTCGTTTGCAAAATGTTCAATGTGGAAAAGTGTATGGAAAGGTGGTTTCACTTTGAGTTGATATCTTTAATATCCTGCCTAAGGCATGTACTTGTCGGCTCTTTGTTCTCACCCCAAAACAAGTCACTCAGAGAACAATTGTTTCAAACTCGCAAAGTTTTTGTTCCCTCAAATGTCATTGACATTTCTGCACACCTGTAGGACAATTTTGGCATATTAGTAGTAGGACAATTATTTATGGTCCTAGTGAGGCAAAACTATGCACTGTTTTAAAAAAAAAAAAAAAGTGCTCTTTTTTTGAAAACTGCGTGCTACTACAAGTGAAATTATAAAATTATTCTAGTTAACTTCTTGCAGTTAGCTCGTTGTACTCGTAGTGTGCAACACCACAGCTAGAGACAAGACAGTTGTTTGACCATGCTGCAGTCATTCTACTGATGTGCTGAATTGAACGAGTGAGGGCAAAGAGCGTACTAATATATGGACCTTAAGCTAGATATCCCGGATATCGAATGCATGTTCAAATGGCTTTCCATGAAAATGTGATCGTAATTTTAACATCTTGAAACAATGGAGGCCTCAATAGATGTCACTGCTTGGCAGCAACCAGTAGATGGCTCATTTGATGGCTAGTGTGGTCCCTAAATGGGCTGCAGAGGAAATCAGCCAGGAAGTACTGTCTGCCAAGTCTGTAGGAGCTCTTATAATGACTTCCTGATCTAATTGACCCCGCATATGTGTCTGTTAGCCGCCAGTTTGGACAGCTATTTATTGTACGCTACACCGTAAACGACATTGGAAGTTGCTGGGTTTACTAATCTCAGACAAATATCTAAAGACTATTGTTGCATTACTTTGTAAATCCTTACTATCCAACATTTGAGTTACTTTAGCTGCGATTGGGCAATGACCACTCCAGAGTCAGATTATCCCTCACCTTTCCCCTAAAGTCAGTTGGGAGGCGCACCAGCTCACCCTCAACTGTAGTGACGGTAGGCAGTACAAAAAAGTGATGGATTTCTGATTATGATTTATGATGATTATACCTGACATATTTATTCAAAATATCCAAATGGCAATTATGGTATTGACGAAATACTTATGTATTTTATTTTAATAATCATACACTTGCATATTAATAATGATGAATTGATTATGCTTGCAATGAAGAATGCTTATGCTCTTCATAAATATATGCTCATATTGATAATAAAGAATGCCTAGTGCACTGTGTGAGAGTTAGTGGACACAACCACCTTTCCGAGAATGTGGTTGGAAAGAGATAAGGTAATAAGACAAAACGAGAGCAAGGCCGGACGTGGACGGAGCTGTCAACACCAGCTGCAGCTTACATGGTGTTTTCAGTAATGATTGCACACATGTACGTAATTTTCACTCACATACACACACATATAGTCAAACAAGTTCAGTGTGTGTCTTCAACAGCCCTCACTCCTTTGGTTGGACACACCCCTGTATTAGATTCTCAATGAGAAAATAAATGAGAGGGCGAGCGGGGAGATCCGTGGGTGACGTGCAGAGAACAAACATGCCAGACTGGCAAAGTTCAGTTTTGTAACAGTGTAAGAGTTTGCCCAATCGTTTACGTTACCGATGCATGTAATGATTTATTAAGTGATCATTAAGAATTCTGTGGCTTCTGTTGAACTGGTTTTTGATTAAGCATGTCTTGAAGCAATTAAGGCTAAAATGGATGCCATGCCTGGCTGTAAACGGCATAGGCACAGTTGATCCAGTCTGGAGTTTGTGGACCTCGCAATAGGCAGATCAATTCTCCCCTTTAATTTACTGGCAATTATGATAATAATTAATAATGTCAAAGGGGAAACCGATACGAAAAAAATTGGTGTTGTAATGATTGTTTGAGCTATTGGGCCATTTTCTCCAGGCCTACATTGGTGTTTTCCAGTTGGTTTTTTTTTTCACTCCTCTTTTTCACTTTCTCTCATTTTAGAAACCCAACGATGCAGAGCACAGTTGACTCCCCGCAGGTGATAGATGTCACAAAATCCAAGCCATCGCTACCCCCCAAGCCTCGACTTGCTCCCAAACCTTTCTCTACACAGAAAAACACCATTCGCTCTATAAATGCTCCGCAGGCTGTTAATGTGTCCTCCAAGGACAAGGCTGAAAAACCCGTGGGTAAAACTCCCCCTAAACCCTTGACCAAACCGTCCACAAAACCGCCTCTGCAAAAGTCCACGACTGTCAATACAAAGGATCCCAAAAAACAAATCAAAGCTGAAACCAAACCTGTTGCAGTCCAGAAAGAAGTTGCCAAAACGAACCGCAAGGCAGAGACTCAGGTGATAACTAACACGAAACCGAATGATGTTGAAAAGAGTGAAGACAAATCTTCGGCGACCACGATCCAAAAGCCTGAAGAATCACCGGACAATGACTCATCAAAAACCGATGAAACATTTCAGTGGGGCGGAACCAGGAAGCGCTTGTCCATGGAGCTAACCTCCAAGTTTAACTCTGGTGGTATGCCTCGACCCATTGACCGCAGCAGATCTCCATCTGTAAACAAAGGAAAAGAAAATGCAAACCAGCCAAAGCCGAACATGGCAGAGTCATCCGCCGCAGAAAGTGATGAGGCCAAAGTGGTGGAAGAAAGCAGCGGAGGTGGCAGCATCAAACGCCGGATCAGTCTTCTATTTGACTCAGCGTCAAAGCCGGAGGTTTCTGTGAAGAGAGTGCAGCCTGAGTTTGTAAATGAAACGGCTGGTGTCAAGGAGCGAATCAAAAACTGGGCTCAGGAGACCAGGTCAGTACGCCTTCTTTTTGCTGTGTTGTCATCATTCTCGGCAATCACAAATGTAATCATGAATGTCCAATCTTTGATTGTACGATGTCACATGGTACTTGTACTTCTACTGTGGGATTAGCGCATCCCAGTGTCGAGTGGTTAGCACGTCGACCTCACAGCACAGGCAGAGATCGAAGGTTCGATCCCGGCTCCGGCCTTCCTGTGTGGAGTTTGCATGTTCTCCCCGTGCCTGCGTGGGTTTTCTCCGGGTACTCCAGTTTCCTCCCACATTCCAAAAACATGCATGGCAGGCTGATTGAACACTCTAAATTGTCCCTAGGTGTGGTTGTGAGCACGAATGGTTGTTTGTCTAAGTGTGCCCTGCGATTGGCTGGCAACCGGTTCAGGGTGTCCCCCGCCTACTGTCCAAAGACTGCTCGGATAGGCTCCAGCACCCCCCGCGACCCTTGTGAGGATAAAGCGGATCAGAAAATGGATAGATGGATGGATCGTGCATCCCTTGATTAAACTTAAGTTGTTTGAAAAGTTTATCTAGACTTACCTCGCTGATGCTTTTCTGAAAGCTAACATGAGCGTTTGCTTTTCAATTGAATTACTCTCATTTTTCTCCCCAGCTCAGTGCCATCAACCGTGCCAACAATAGAGAAGACTCAGAAATTGCCAGCTGTTTCCGAAGCAGAGACCACATCATTGTCCGACACAACTGAAAAACCTCCGACAGAACAACTGCACACATCGGAGGAGTTGGAGCACAAGTCATTAGAAGAAGATGACGATGCTGACGATGCCTCCTCTCCTGAAATGGATAAAAGCCGAGACGCTGCCAAACGCCGTTCTGCTCAATTCGCTGCGGTTGAGAGCGACGACGGTGAAGCCCCTCTTGCCATGGGATCGAAAGCGGAAAGCAAATCAAAGGAACAAGCAGCTCTCAATAGCAAGGACGAGGACATCAGCGAGGTGGAACAAATAAAACAATTGGAATCTGAAAAAAGGCGAAAAGCTGAGGAAAGAAAAAAGCAAAGCTGGAGGTTACAGGAGGAGAAAGTTCAAAAAGAGGAGGAGGAGAACAAGAGGAAGAAAGAAGAAGCCAATCATATGAGAGAAAAGGAGAGCAGGGTGGAGGCCGAAAAAGAAAGACTAAGGCTGAAGAAAAAAGAAGATGAGAGGCAGAGAAGGGAGGATTCGGAGAAAGAGAGGCTGAAGAAAGAGGAGATCAAAAGAGAGGAGGAGAAAGAAAGATTGAGGCAAGAAGAGAAGCAGAGAAGGGATGAATTGTTGAGAGAAGAAGAGGAGAGAAAGCGGGAGGAGGAGGAGGAGGAGAAAGAAAGGTTGAGGCTAAAAAGGGAGGAGGAGAAGCAGAGAAGAGAGGCCCTGGAGAGAGAAAGGATGAAAGAAGAGGAAAGGAGGGCGGAGGAGTTGGAAAGGATGAAAGTGAAGAAGCTGGAAGAGGAGAAGCAGAGAAGGGAGGAACTGGAGAAAGAGAGGCTGAGAGAAGAGGAGAGAAGAAGGGAAGAGAAAGAAAGATTGAGGCTAAAGAAGGAAGAAGCGGAGAGACTGGAAAGAGAGGAACAAGAGAAGGAAAAGCTTCGAGAAGAGGAGCGAAGAAGGGAGGAGAGAGACAGAACGAGGCTGAAGAGGGAACAAGAGGAGAAACAAAGAAGGGAGGAATTGGAGAAGGAAAAAATAAGGGAAGAGGAGAAAGCAAGATTGAGGCTGAAGAGAGAAGAAGAGGAGAGGCGGAGAAGGGAGGAATTGGAGAGGGAAAGATTGATGGAAGAGGAGAGAAGGAGGGAGGAGATCGAAAGAATACGACTCAAGAAATTGGAAGAGGAGAAGCAAAGAAAGGAGGAATTGGCAAAAGAAAGGCTCAGAGAAGAGGAGAGAAGGAGGGAAGAGATAGAAAGGTTGAGGCTCAAGAGGGAAGAAGAGGAGAGACGGAGAATGGAAGAATTGGAGAGGGAAAGAATGAAGGAAGAGGAGAGAAGAAGGGAAGAGATAGAAAGGTTGAGACTCAGAAGGGAAGAAGAGGAGAGGCAGAGAAGGGAGGAATTGGAGAGGGAAAGAATGAAGGAAGAGGAGAGAAGAAGGGAAGAGATAGAAAGATTGAGGCTAAGAAGGGAAGAGGAGGAGAGACTGAGAAGAGAGGAATTGGAGAGGGCTCGACTACGGGAAGAGGAAAGAAGGAGAGAGGAGAAAGAGAGGTTGAGGCTAAGGAGGGAAGAAGAGGAGAGACAGAGAAGGGAGGAATTGGAGAGGGAAAGGATAAAGGAAGAGGAGAGGAGAAGGGACGAGAAAGAAAGATTGAGGCTGAAGAGGGAAGAAGAGGAGAGGCGGAGAAGGGAGGAATTGGAGAGGGAGAGAATCAAGGAAGAGAGAAGAAGGGAAGAGATGGAAAGATTGAGGCTGAAGAGGGAAGAAGAAGAAAGACACAGAAGAGAGGAATTGGAGAGGGAAAAGCTCCGGGAAGAGGAGAGAAGGAGAGCGGAGATTGAAAGAATGAGAGTGAAAAAGTTGGAAGAGGAGAAGCAGAGAAGGGAGGAATTGGAGAAAGAGAGGCTGAGAGAAGAGGAGAGAAGGAGGGAAGAGATAGAAAGGTTGAGGCTCAAGAGGGAAGAAGACGAGAGACAGAGAAGGGAGGAATTGGAGAGGGAAAGGCTAAGGGAGGAAGAGAAAAGGAGGGAGGAGATTGAAAGATTGAGAGTCAACATGGAAGAAGAGGAGAGGGTGAGAAGGGAGGAATGGGAGAGGGAAAAGCTCAGGGCAGAGGAGAGAAGGAGGGAGGAGATTGAACGAGTGAGACTGGCGATGGCAGAAGAGGAGAGACAGAGACGGATCGAATTTGAGAGGGAAAGAATGAAGGAAGAGGAGCAGAGGAGGGACGAGATCGAGAGACTCAGGCTGAAGATCGAACAAAATGAGAGGCAGAGACGGGAGGACTTGGAGAGGGAAAAACTGGAGAGGGAAAAACTGGAGGAAGAGGAGAGCAGGAGGGATGAAATGGAAAGACTCCGGCTCATGATCAAAGAAGAGGAGCGACAGAGACAGGAGGAAAGGGAGCAGAGAAAACAGGAATCTCGGGTGGCCCAAGCACTGAAGGAGGAGGAGTCGAGGACCAGACGCAAGATGGAGATGAAAATGCAACAACAAAAGGGAGAGCTGGAGAGAATGAGGGGGATGGAGAGACAGAGGGGGGAGGCGCAAAGGGACTTCAGTGAAAAGACAGAGCCAAATTTCATCGGCTTTGACGCAAACGATTTGACTCCAACTCCATACAAACCTTATGCAGAAACCGGGATCCTTTATGACAACTTCTCGGTCGGTGAGTCCAAGCCTCTGGCGGATGTTGGTCATTTTGATGACTTTTCTGTGAAGCCGACCCGATGGGGGTCACAGAAAAATGTGGAGGCAACCGCATGGGACACAAGGGAAGACGTTCGGGGGGCTCTGGATGTTGGCGCTCGAGAGAGAGTGCAGATGGAAGGGTCCTTCGAGCCGAAATCAACCTTCGTGCGCCCGGACGAGGAGGAGGACCACCGACAGCAAGAAGAGGCGTCTCAAGAGCAGGAGCCGGAGTCTCCACAGATCGAGTTGGCAAAAGGAGGCCAATATTACAAGTATGAGGTAAATTCAAAAAATTTTAAACTCTTTTTATGGATGTCTACAATCCATGATTACAATTTAACATGAGCCCAACATATACCGTGATTCAGTAAACACCGATTCTGCGTCTTGTATTTGAAGTATGAATCATTTTTTTATGACAGTAATCCATCATTAAGAATTTGATTTCCCGATAATACATCAACTTTATTTGGGGTTAATCAAAAGGCACTTCAAAATGGTCCTCAGTGTGCGCCGACATCCCTTCAACAGATTTGAAATGTGATTGGTTAAGTCTTCCTTCTGGATTTTTTTCCCCAACTGGTTTTAGGTCACGTTCAAGGTGAAAATGTTTCGAATTGATTTTCTCATGGGGCTCATTTTATTTAGTTGCACAAAAAAACTGCCATTTGGGTTGGTGCATAGACTTTTTATACTTTCTATGTTGTGGTGCAAACCCAGGCTCGAAAAGTGGAAATTGGGCAAAAACACAAAAGTGATTTAACAGACATTGTGGAAGTGATATTTTACCATTGACTATGCAGCTCGCTGTCCGACACATGAAAAAAAAGAAAAAAAAATCTTGTTATTCTCGCTTCACCTGGTTACGCCATGCCCTAAAAAGAACACTGTTGTACTTTGTGTGGGTGTGAGTGATCGTGACTAATAAAACTACCCCAGCCAAGAATCTACTTGCCTTGCGTCACGATAGTAGACAATGATGATTATGATGATGGATGAGCGGTCATGATCATATGGTCAGTCTCTACTGGCATTGCTTTGAAATGTGATACCTGTATAGCTCAAGCGGTAAAAGAAATAGGAAACTTCTGACTTGTGTCAATCAGTTGCTGGTTCTCAAATGACATTCATAAACTTTGTTGCGCTACGCTCTGTTTGCTGTAACGTTATGGTCTGCATCTGTGAGGTTGAGACTGAGACGTCTTGAGGAGCTGGCATTGCTTTGAAATGTGATACCTGTGTAGCTCAAGCGGTAAAAGAAATATGAACTTCTGACTTGTGTCAATCACTTGCTGGTTCTCAAATGACATTCATAACCTTTGTTACGCTCCGCTCTGTTCGCTGTAACGTTTGGGTTTGCATCTGTGAGGTTGAGACTGAGACGTCTTGAGGAATTGGTGTTGGAACTTTTTTTTTTTTTAGTTGTTGCGCCACTGCTCTCCCTATTTGGGTAAAGCTTTTGTGAAAGCAATAATCTGTTGTCATTTTAAAATAGACTTTTTTTTTATTTTTATTGGATGACCTTTTAGTAAAGGGAAAGCCATCACTGTCATGTTGGTGGTAAACCCACACTATCGAATTTGTAGTCACCAATATTGGTGGACAAGCACACATCTCATGTTGTGTCGGCCACATTGTTAACATTGACTATGTCAATAAACTGCAGTCTGTTTGTAGTTACCGCAGTAGTGCAAAAGATTTGTACTTTTTTGGGGTCGGATCAGTCAGTCAACTGCTGAGTGTGGCTTCTGTTACCATGACGACTTGGGGTGGATTTGGGGTCCGATGACGTGGCTTTTCAGTGTTCACCACTTCGTGTCTTTGCGCGATGTGTAGCAATTTTTTTTCTAACCCATCTATTGAGTACTTTCAAAAAAAAAAAGAAGAAGAATTCAAAAAGGCAAGAAGCAATAACATTTAGAGACTTTTTATGGCGTTATTGGCAACTCTCCGAATCCCTGCAACACAGATGTTCACCCTTCCGTGTCCAGGCTGCCAATGAATAACACAGTCAATGAGAGAAGCCGCCTGTGACCACTTTAACTGTTGTTTTGATTGATGCTTGCAAATTGGCGGGATTATAACCAATTTCCATGTGGAGGTGGTGGCGCGCGATAACATTTTGGTGCAAATGTGGAAAACAAAGTGGATGGAGGAATGTTTTGTTTTCTGTTGTCAAAATAGAGCTGTTCACTAATTACTTTGGATTCAGACTTGTGTTGACTTGCGATATACTGAAATGATATTTTATGCCGGAGGAGGATTTAACTGGATTGTAGCCATCTCCTGCCTTGTTCTTGTCAGTCCAGACACTGCTGATTGCATAAATTGTTGCTCGCTATAAAACATTTGGACAAACAAATACATAGATACTGTTATTTATTACATGTACAGAATTGTACTTTTTTTCTTCTTCTTCTTCTTCACTTCACAGTGTAGTTCTGCGCTCCACTGAATTATAAGTTTTCCCTTTTCGGAAGTTTTCACCGCAAATCCTTTTTGTTATGTACAACAGCGACATATGTTTACACACGGTGTGTGTTCAGGCTATACACAAGCACATACCTCTCATTAAACACAAGCCTTTAAGCCTGCACGAGATTTTAAAAAAAATCGGCATATTATTCATCGCAAAGAAAGATCTTTTGAGAGTGCAAAGCAAGCAGAGGCAGATCAGATCACCTGCCTGTTTGAACATGCATCATTATTATTATTTTTTTTTTTTGCAGAGAAAACTGTGGGCTCTGTTGCACTGATCTCTGTGGTTAGACAGTCTGTACTCTGTGCGTGCGTCATTGCGATACTCCCTCGGTCTTTTTGCCTGTTTGCATGCTTTAGCAAACAAGCCCTAACCTACATGTGGTGAGCTATTATCAGATGGCCCTGCGCATGTTAAACTCTCTTAAAGAGAAAAGAGTCCAGGTTGAAAAAATAAATAAATACAAAATAAAAAACAATGGGCGCAAATTACAAATTACCTTCGTTACATTACATAACTCTATAGATCAGGGGTGGGTAAACTGATTTTGCCCAAGGTGCACGTTGGTTTTTTTTGTTTGTTTGTTTGTTTGTTTTAATGGGAAGATGGGCAGCTCAGATTTGTAAATGGTGTAAACTAAAAAGTTCTAATGTAATAATGTAGGTTATTTTGATCATACAATAATAGTGTGTTTCCATGTTTAAACTCGTTTTTAAATTGTGTCTATAATTAATGATAAATGGAGGCTGTGGCTGAGTTGAAAGTGACATCAGGGTCAGCGGTTCAAATCCCAGCTCCAACTGATCACATCAGAGTGTCTTTGGGCAAGACAACTGAGCCCTAATTTGTTCCCAGTAGGCCCGGCAGTGCCTTGCAATGGCAGCAGCCGCTCATTGGTGTGTGCATGTGTGAAAGTTAGCGTTCGTAATAGAGGATAGCTTGAGGAACATGAATGGACCCCCCCAACCATGCTTGCTCCACCAGAGGGCAGTGCTGATCCTAAAGTTAAAACTTCCCTCCGGTGCTTTTGCTGTCTAGAACCCTGTCATAATTTTAATTGTAACACAATAAAGAATGTCTTGCCTTTGAAGACTGCATCTGGGTTATGTATATAATGAACCAAGAAAAGCTTGAACAGGTCAAATGTGTTAATGTGCAAACACAACGTGTACAGTTGACTGAGTACTGTACATTTTTCCGGCTATACTGAGCAAAGCGCATAAAGACAAACAGGATACATCGGCCAGTATCAAGGTAGTGTGTGATCACCACATCCTCATTTGGATCTGAGTGAAAGGCTTACGTGTCACAGTGACCAAACATGGTCAATCTACACGCTAAGACTCTGCTTTGAGCCTGTCTACCGCCCCACTTCACAGCACACCAAAGAGGCTGGGCTTAACTGTGGACAAGAAGGTTCACATGTCCTTTGACCAATCTGGAGCTCACATTTGCTCCGACATTCCAAGAGGATTCCTGGCAAGGAATGCCGCCCTCAGTCGAGGCCTGCTTTGAATCAGTAAACTACATCATGACCCAGTCGAGGACACGTCCATTACTTTTTGGATTTTCTCTTGCAAAGCGTAGATCTTACAAGATAAGCGCTTAATTTGACCCGGACTCTGCCTTTGGACGTCTTGTTTTTTGTTTTTTTTCCTCCCAAAAGGATACAGCACGAAATGGAAATGAAACTGCCTGTCTCTGAAGAAGACTCAACTGACAGAGATTATTCTTGTATAATGAGGTACACTTGATGGGTTTCCTGTGATGGCTGTTTACAGTGCGACTGCAGTCAATCTCTGAAGACTCCTGTTGTCTTTTGCTGCTTTGAATGACAACAAATACCTGGTTTCAGGTCAGGGCCATGAACTGAAATCAAAATAAGAAAAGGAATGGTGCGTAATCCATGACAATTTTATGGACATTACTTCTGCAGAAAGTCACTTTTCACAATCTTGGATTTTCTGTGGAGACCCCAGTCGCCGTGGTCGCTATATGAGCTCTCCAATCATGCAGTACTTTGGAGGAAAACTGTCAGCTGCCCAGCTTCATGTGGCAGGCTGGGTGGGCGGTGTGCGACGCTCCTTTCAGGGGGCTCTTGCGCTTGTCTGGAGCACTGCAGAGGAGGACAAGGACAACGAAGAAAACAAAGGTGGAAACGGCAATGGGAGATTACAGAAAGCCGTTTTGCCTCTTCGCAGCTTTGCCCACCATAGCAGGAGATCAATGCGTCACTTTTCCATCAGAAGTCGACAAACTGTGGAAGAGAGATCCACTGAAACCTGCACTGTAAGAGCTGCTCTTGTAACCCAGCATACAGTACCATACATCTTGGGCCACCAATGATTTTTTTGTTGTTGTTGGGGTTTTTTTTTCTATGAATCATTTTAGAAAAAGTCCTATTTTTGGTGTACAAAAAACACAGACAAAAAAATCCCACACTATCGCGATTAATATGTCTGAATGAATGTCACATGAACAAGATCCCATTGCTTTTAGTGACGATCTAGAAAGGATCATTTCGTCATCGATCAATATGTACGCATGTGAATTTGTGGATATGAATGATTGTTTCAAATAATGGTTCTTATTGATTGTACCTGACCCATGCCCTAACTCTTTCATGAGGGATTCCCCCAGACAAATGCCTACAGTACACATGTAAAAATACTGGATGGAGCTTAGTGGTCAGCCTGTCTCAGGAAAAAAACATGGTTACCCGATAAGGTCTTCCAAATGTGGTGTTTTATCAGTTCCATGCATGCTTTTTCCCTCTCTGTGGTGTCATGTGTCATAGATAGGGCAGCGGACAATAACAATGTGACAAAGAGCCACATAAAGAGGTTCATCCTACTTTGGATGAATATGCCTTAGCACCTTGACTGGGTTTCTGACTTTGCAACCATATACATTTTTTGGGTGGTCATACATCCTCTCTTTCCATGACCTTAAAAAAACGGGTTACCAGTTTAAATTGTCCATTAATTTATTTTTTACACTCAGCATGCATTCATCCTTTGCTCTGTTGCTCATGTTTCTCTGTAGTTCCTGCCATCTTGCAAGGTTTTGGCTGGGCTCATTTGAAATATTAGACACGACACCAGTGACTTGTTGTGCTGTCACAATATGTCTTGTCATTTTAGAAGACTTCATAAGGTTAAAATGTGGAAAGTTAAAATGCTACCATGCTAACAGCTAGTTTGCTAACATCAGGCCTGTTTGTATCTTTCATGCTTAAAATGCAAGCTGGGATCTTGAGATAAAATCTTTCAATGTTGTTATCTGGCACGAGGAAGCATTGTCAAATCTCTAACGTTAAAATGAGAGTATACTTTTGCACTGCATTTTGCTATGCTCACATTTGGCATGTGAGAACAAAGTGCTTTGACACACCCTTCGGTTTATTTGGTAACATCTCATGACTCAATGGCATTCTTAAGAGCGGTATATTCATGTGCAGTTTGATGCTTTTGTGTTCCTTTTCCCGAAGAAATAAATTAAAATAGGATGCCATCCAAATAGGCCATACATATTTCAGACAGGTTCCCATAAATCATCTCTGGTATACATTTGGGCCAGGAATTATCATCTGTCACTTCTACATAATGCTACTTCTCACAAGAATTATCGCGGTGGCATTTTGTTCCTTACTTGACCATTATGCTCGAGGGAAGCTCACCATTGCATTTTGTACATTGTATTTAGTTCGTTCTTGCTAGATTGCTTCAAGATTGTAGAAATTGTGCAATAAATGGACACCGGTTTCAGCACCAAAAATCATACGGAGGAGGCTCGGCGGAGTTTTCCCTCTGTATCAAAGTGACAGTATCAGACACTGGGATGTCCCTGGTGACAAATTGCTTTAATTTGAAATGTGCATGTGTGCACACATACATTCCAGCATGTGGGTGTGACGGCAATTTGGAACTTTAGGATATGGGTTTCTATATCATTGTGTGTCAGTCTGTGTTTGTGCGCGGATGCGCGCTACTGACTGCAAACACATGATCATAGGGTGAGAGGGACCACAGCCTAACCTCTTTAAACAGCTCATTAAAAGACGCTTGCTTGGTTGCTCCTCGCCCCTGCCTCCCTATGTAGTTTGTGATCTTCGCTCCGCTCACAGTTGATTTTCTCCTTCAGTTCTCCATTATGTCATCATAATGTGACGAGTACAGGTGACGTAACTGTGCAAAAATATCAAAAGTTTTTTTTTTGTGTCCCCCAGGATCCCGACAGCAGTTACCGTACACGTAGACATGGTGAAGATACGGATGCTTTGATAGACTTGGAGTCTGAGAGGCAGCATGGAGGCTATGAGTGGAGGTCTAAAACTGACAGGTAGGATTTACATGTTGACTGGTATAATGGAACTTCGTATGAATGTAATAAACACCTCTTCTCATTTGAAGTAAGATACATTGTTGGAGGCTGAGCAGGGAGCAGAATTACCTTTTTGATCACATACACAGTTGCATTGAAGTCCCAGTATTTAGCCCTTGGGTTGTGTGTGGGAAAAGTTTAACTCAAAGTTGAGCTGTGGCTGTTGAAGCTCAAAAATGACTCCCTGTACATTTGAGCTCTCAATGCCCCCTGGTGGTTTCAAGTTGTAAGAAATTGAGAAGAGTTTGGATTTGAAAATTAACAACAATGTGACTGCGTTGCAACAATAACTTGAGCTTTTTCAGTTGGGAGCCTTGCTTATGTTTTTTTGGGCTGATTTCCAAGGACTGCTTTTCAACCAAGTCCGAGGTCTTTGACTGATCCATTCGCTGAGGTCTCTGACGATCTTGATGCAACTGAGCTGGTGCCATCTCCTTTCCCTGAGGTTGGTGATGACTCTGTTTACACACCTTAAACCAGGGGTCCCCAACCTTTTTTGCCCCACGGACCGGTTTATGTCAGACAATATTTTCAGGGACCGGCATTTAAGGTGTGGCGGAAATAATACAACAAAATAATATGGTATGAGCTGCATGAAAACTGTGGTGTTTTCGAAATATAATAATAAACACAAGGAGCGTCTAATCTGGCCGCAACGCTATGGCAATGTTTAATGCCTTCAAAATACGACACAACGCAAATTCAAAGTGCATGAAAATGACGACTCACCACAGCACCGAGCTTGATTTTCTGCAACCAGACGGTCCCATCTCGGGGTAATAGGAGAGACAATGACACCGCAAGTGTGTGGTTTATGTCCAGTCTACTTCGTAATTTTGTTTTCGTCGCCGTTGCTGCATAATCCCCCTCCGCCTCACACAGGTAGGATGTCGGAAATAGCAAAAGTGCTATTGTGGCGATCTCAGAGTATTCAGACATAACTTTAATCCAGTTGTCTCGAACGTACTTTTAAGGCCGCCGTCATTTGCGATCTCCAGCAGTTTTTTTACTCATTTTGCGAGCTCCGGTGTTTGTTTTTAGCCTAATTGGTCGCGTTACGGAGAAGCGTGGCTTGACGTGTGTCAAGCTGGACACAGACGGATGTAAAGGAGAATCCGGTAATTTTTCAAAATAAAACA